AATCACCTATAAATTATAAGATTGAAAATATGAATGATATGAAAATATGCTATTACTGTAAGTATGTCAAATATCCCAGATAGCGTTAGCAAGAAGTATCAGTTATCATGATATTAGCAGCTCTTGATGGTGAAGATGACGATGAAGAACACAAAGGAAGCCAGTGTTTTGTTTTGTTAATATTTTGAATTTGGTTTTATTTTTAGATGATCACTAAACCTTAGTCATTTTTGGAAGCCCTTTTAATTTTTATAAATTCAATAACGTTTACATTTATTTTGGAAAACTAATTTGATATATTATCCACCTATTGGTTTAGTGTAGTATGAAAAACAATGTTGTCTTAGCTACAGTATAGCTGAATTTAAAATTAAGTCCATTTTTTCCCTTTTGTTTCACTTTTCTCAGAAGGAATTATTACCTAGCTGCAAAGCACTATCACCACTGAAGATGGGGATTTTTTTTTTTTTTTTTTTTTTTTTGGTTTTGCAGCAAATAAATGTTGCGTTGAGAAAGTGTAGTGAGCTACTGCAGATTCAGGTGGAAGGGCTGAACACAGAATTCTGAGTAACTTGATACTGAACATCTAATAGCCTGCCGTGTAAAGCTAGAACCTATAGGTATGCCATGGCATTTGATTTACATGCAATGCTTTAGTTACACTTCACAACTTCTTTTTAAATGAGTAAAATGGTATGCAGTCAAAAGAAGGCACACTGAAGAAGCAAATTTTTGCCCTTTTCTTTTGCATATACCTTTAAGATCATTTGCTCAAAAGGTTCTTTATAGCATTCAATGGTTCTTTAGAAATTAAATTCCGTTCAGAAATTCTAATAGTTCTTCAAACTAAGAAAAACTCCTGTTCTATGGTAAAATCCTATTGAACTGTTAATTTTTAATTCTGTTAAAAAGAAAATCAATTGCTTGAGTTGGAATTGACCTGTGACTCATTTTCACTCATCTTCCATCATTTAATGTTCTCATTTGCATTTGTAAAGCAAAATTCAGCCTGAAGTAAGTTTACCTGGCTGACCTGGGCTCTTACAGTTAACTACTGCTTCTTACCCCCAACGTCCACTAGGTAGTTTATAGAAGCTCCCTTACAAGGACACCTCTTCTGGAATAGCAACTGCCATTTGATCGTACTCATGACCCCTCGTTCTCCCACCTCCACCCCCTTCCACACCCCTACCGTGTGCCTGAAGAATGTGCACACCTATCTGAAACCCACAGGTTCTGCACTAGCCATTACTGCTTGTTATTAAAAACTAATATAATTATTTTACAATCTGACTCTGATACTAAGGCTGATAGCACACTTACTGATAATGAGCAATACATTTGTTATACATCAGCATAAACAAACCCATCCACTGGGTTAATTTTTTTGTTGTTGTTACAGTTTTAACTGAAATTAAAAAACCTAAGTTTTTAGTTGTTAGAGCTGGGTCTGTTCATTTTATATTTTAAATTGTAATATAAATACTGTATTTATAAAAGAAGCCTTATTGTAAATTATTACCTAAAACACATTTGGATTTTTCCTCTGACTTGCTCGACTCACAGAAAATTTAGTAAATCAAGGTTTTGTTGTTTTCCCACCACAATTGTTTAGGGAAAACTGTAAAATTAAAAAAACAGACCATTCCCTCAGAATTGGGTTAATTTTTAATTAAGATAATGACTTTGAGGAAAAACGCAAGGCAGAAAGCAGCTTTTGAGGGATTAAAGGAATCCCTGTCATGCTATAAATGCTAAATTAAACAAAAATAGTTCACCTGTCTGTTTCAAAACTTAGTGGTACACTCCATAGCATTTCAGTCATGCAGTACTTTACAGATGCTGTCTCAATGTAATATCCTATATTGTACTAGCAAATGATAAGAGACTAAAATAGCAATGCAAGGATGCAATGAGCAAACGATTGTGCCTGAAAGGAATAAGATAAATTGGTTAAATGAATGGAAGACGGTGAAATTGGCACTCAGGCCTGGGGTGCATGATAGTTCTGTATGGTCCGAATGATGAAAAAACACTCAAGTACTTTAATTTTTATGAATTTGTATGACCTCGTCCCTCAATGATGGCTTGGTTTAGTGGAGGGATTTGGGGGCTTGCTGCCTTTTAAAAATTGTGAGTTTTCATGCAAATTGTTTAATATAAACTTGCCACTTGCCACCGATTGAAAATATTTACATTTCTTCGTGATATTTGGCTGTACTAGCTTTGAGAGCCCAGCTTTAACAGCACAGTTACTAGAATGACAAATGTTTTGACAAGAATATTAAAAATCCTAGATATTTAGTTTGAAATATCCTTTTAAAAATGCTAAAACAAAACTGCCGCAAAGCAAATCTTTACAAATGCTTGTTTTTCCTTAGCATTAAAGGCGCTACTGCATTTTGTCTGGTAAAATGTAGTTTGATGAAGTTTTATTATACAAAACAATATGAATAGCATTTAAGGCAAATGACTCAAAACATTTACATTAGATTGAGATTAAGCTATTCTAATTAAATTAAAAGAAAAATATAAATCCCAATTTAGTAAACTTACTAAAATAAAAAGTACAAATTCTCAATTCAGGGCTATGACATTAATACAGTTGTCAATATTTGATGTTGATCAAAAACATTTTTTAAAAATTGCCCTAAGACAAGAATTGTTGTGGAATAATTAAGGACATTTGATTACAGGTTGATCCATTTCAAATGTTGACTTCTGCATTTTCCACATGCACTAAAATTAAAATAAAGACTCTAAAGGTTTTTTTTTACCACTTCTGGTTAGCCAAAAGTCTTTTCTGTTTTACAATAAAAGAACCATGTTTCCTATAGCATCAGGGTAATTTTAACAAGAACCTTACTCCACTGCAAAGATAGAATTGAAACATCCCATGGATTTTATGAAAGTTTACAAAGTTTTTTCCTGAATATGCCAATTGAATCTGTCATGCGCATGGCTTCATATTGTAAATCTATATTTAGACATGTCAAAATATGAACAGAGCTGCAACAACCAGAATAAAAAAAATTTAATGAAATTGCTTCACCTCCATTCTCTTAAAGGTTAAGCATCAAGTTAATTGTCAGCATGTGTGTACTTTGCAAGAAAGGAAAAAAGGGTTGGTTTGGGCACCCAAGGGGAAATAAATCATCTGCAGTGCTAAATTCTGAATCCTTATTAATAAACACCTCTCAGCATGTACTACCAGTCATTTAACTCGAATCAACAGATGACGATAAACAAACTACTTGGATTAATAGGTTAAGGGGACAGGATGGGGCCCGTATTTTTAGTTGTCAAATCTATTTGCATCTCTGAGTCCTGCTTAACCACTTCCGCCATTCTGAACACGGACTCTCCTCTCTTACTCACTGTCACCTCTTCTGCTCAGCTGCTACTGTCACTTTGGTGAAGTTTCGACTAATGCAATATAGCTACAGCAATCATACTTATAACATGCATGTGTAGTTCAGAGTAACTGATCACATGTAAATATGTTGTAAAATGTTCAGAATCATGCTGCGCTTAATTTAGATTTTGTGTTGAAAACAGTTTTGCTTTAATCATTAACAGAAAGAAAAAAACACTCAACTGTCAGTTTAACTGATTTGCAATCCATGTGTCTAAATCAGGGAGATCATTTATAATTCTGAATAATAAAGCTTTAAATCAAAAGTTAAATGCCATTACTGCATAGTATCGTAATCGCCTAGTTAAGCTTTTGTCCATAGATTATCTTTACAAAAAAAATAAAAAATAAATAAGTGTCAGGAACAAAATTTAACAAATACCTAATAAATAAATCTTAAAGTGCAAGTTAAAGGGGTAGGCCCTATGTCCTAAATATTTTGTCAGTCAATTCTTTTAAATTTAAAAGTATATTTTGAAAACAATGCATTAAAATAATATGGTAAGAAAATCAGTTTGCAATGAAGACCTGAAGTTAAAAATAGCTAAAATGACCCCTGGAAACTGTTGCACTTATTGCTCCCAAGCAGGGCTGGATTTAGTGATTAGGGGGCCCAACAGTCCTAAAACCAAACCATTTGTAGTTTTATACTTTTTGTGTGTATATTTATATATTTATTTAGCATTTTTTTCTTAAGTCACTGGATTTCCTTTTTTGTGTTTTATCTTAATAAAATCTCTACATTTTAAATTATTTGTTTTCATAAAATAAATTTACAACAAAAATAAATAAAGAAAAAATAATGAATTGTTTTTAAAACTGAATCTTTACCTGACTTAACTGCTGGAGTACTCCTTGACAAATTTGTGTATGTTATCATTTTATTTGTAAGACCTTCACCACACAAAATTCGATAGAAAACTATCTCATGTGTAAAATTTATACTTATAGGGATTTGTTGAGGAGCCCTCAAATTTCCTGGGGCCCTAAGCCGCTGCTAATTTGGCGTATTGGTTAAATCGCCTCTGCTCCTAAGTGAAAAATACGTTGGATAAGAGTTAGCGCAAAAGTATTCTAAAAATAGCCTAATCCAACTACATTACCTTAGATTAGTAATCTGACATTACTTGCTACAAAAGATCATAATGCAATTTGTAGAAATCATTTTTAGCAATCGTTAGATTACGCTGTACATTTTTAACGTAACTGACCTTAAAGGAGATACATAAATAAAATAGATGATAATAAAATTACATAAAACTCAATGGCATTTTTTCTCATTTAAATCTTTAAACAAATACCACAGTTATACGTTTGCAGCACTTCTATATTGACTACTACTTTCATGTATATTAATGGGATTTTGCTCAAATGAATTGTTGCTTATCGATTTTTTCAGTTGTTTAAATCAACGAGGTGACAGCTGATTGGTCTTTCTTACTGCGCGGTACCTGACGGGATCATTCAATCGTTCACTCTTCACGTTCACACACAACTAAGTATAAAATAGCATTACGGAATAAGTATGATTTAATTGTGTATATTTAATGATTAATTTAATTCACCGTTTAAGTTATGTTTGTACCTTCCTCTGCTGCTTCTCCCAGGCCGGGTCCAGGAACAGGTCTCGGTCCCAGTCGTCCTCTTGGATCATGTATTCCTCAGTCGCGGTCATCATGTAAGACCCGTACTGCACTTGCGATTCAACCGCTGTCATGTTGCCGTCTTCCCTGGGGTGCTTAGTTTCCCCTCAACCTACACAACCTTATTTTTGACCTCTTAATTCAACATACAGAGTCCCGTGCGGGTTTGGAGAGAGAAGACAGAGACCCTGCCTGCGGTTACAGCTCCCACCGGCCGATGAGCGGACAGCTGCTGCTCCAACTCTACAAGTAACGGCACCCAATTTGAGCGACTGACCGCTGCAGTATTTGGTCACAACTTCATTTCTTAAAAGGTGATGGGCGGGATTAACAAACTGTACAGAATAAGCAGTGTTAAGTTCAAGGTACACAAAAGCAGTCAATGAGCATAACTAAAATCATAACAATTCCAGTCCATCTTCAGTGTTTTTGGTTGTAAAAATTGAGATTTTAAATCAACCATATTAGAATCAATTCAACTGAACACACAAGAAAACAAGAACAGACAAGTGAATGATTTAAGCATTGTTTATTGAAGTTACAAGAAAATACAAAGATCATGGCACTAAAGCCAGTTTGCAAATAAAAAACGTTAAAATTCAGATCCCTCAGACATTGACAATTACATAAACCACAATGAGTTGCCCATTCAGACCTAGAAAAAAAATTCAAATGGTACTTCCCTGAATCGCTGAGTATTTCAGTCCTTGATTATCTACAATCATAGTTTGTCCAAGTCTGTGTATGCACCTCTGAATGAGAGGTGAAGCTTCAGGTCATTGGAAGGTTGTAAAAGTATTAAAAAAAAAATCAAAAACATGACTGTAAAGTGTGTTTAGCTCTAAACCTTCAATGAGAGATTAAAGGTTAAAAGAACAGTTCATCCAAAAAGTAAAATTCTGCCAGCAATAATTCAAACACTTAACAGATTTTTTTCTCCTGTTGAACACAAAAGATATTTTGAAGAATGTAAGAAATGGTGACCACTAGCTTTTTTTTCGATCTTCCTATTTTATGAGCATTTTGCAAAAAACGCTTAAAGAAAACTCTAGAACCGGTGTCAAATTCAGTTCGTGAATAGTTTAGTTGCAACCCTGCTTCAACACACTTACCTGTAGGTTTCAAACAAGACTGAAGGACTCAATTAGTTTGATCAGGTGTTTAATTAGTGTTGCAACTAAACTGAGCAGAGCTTCAGCACTCCAGGAACTGGCTTTGACACCTGTGCCCTAGACGCACAAAAATCATGAAAATGTGCATAAATGCATGCACACAACAGATAAACATTTTATCTGAACCACTGGACTGTAGCCAGCCTTCCTGATGAAATTGGAGGTTTTTTTTTTTTTCTCAAAAAGTGAACCTTTTTTGCAATTAAACGCCTCATTTTTTATTTAACTGCTTAAATTTAAATACTTAAATTTAAGCACTATTTCAAATTAGCTTGTCGGATGGTAATCATAAGCACACTTTCTGACTATTTTAGCCAAAATAGTATTCAAATCTATTTTAATATGGTACGCTTTTGATGCTTCACACCTTTTTGGGCTTTTTTTTTTTGTCAAGATTTAAAATAAGTTACTTTTCTTAACAGTACAGTAGCAAAAGATGACTTCTGTCATAGCAGATTACACAGTTGGATGCTGGACTCATAAAAAATTTGTTAGCATTAGCCAAAACTGATTAGCTGAAGTCACAATGAACCGAGAGCCAACATAGAATTCTGCTTGGTCTTTAAGCCTTTATTTTCACCATAATGGCATAGCAGTCAAAATAGGACAAATGAGCTGATGTATGGGACAAATTCTGGACCCTTGTCACTGAGGGCTGGGTTTTTCGAACCATCCAAACCCTCCCCCAGCTACAGGCCTGGAATGGTTTGGTATTACCTCCCAGAACTATCTGAAGTGGCTGCACTCGCAAAGATATCTGTGGGTTAGGCATAGGACGATAACTGGTTTTTAAGGTTTACCAGTTTGAAAAAGTCAACGTTTTAATACCATCAACGTTTTGTTATACCGTTGCTAAAGTATATGTAAGTTTTTTTTATTACTAGTTTATTTAGTTTTTCAGGGCTACAGTATCTCCAGCAGAAAATAAACCTCTACATAAAAATTACTGATCCAAAATATTTGAAATGTTCCTGAAAATAAAATATATTCTGTTGAAGGTGGAAAAAAAAAATTGCTGTTTTTAACCCAGACATTTTATAAAAACTTATTTTGGAGCAGTAATCGCAATACCGTGAAACAGTGATGTTTTTATCCAAGGTTATCATACTGCCAGAATCTTATATGGCCTATGCCTACTGTGGGTTTTGTTGCGTTTCCTCTTCATTCTCTGAGGTGCAAGTAATTATATAAAGAGAAAAAGGCTCAACTGCAGTAAATTTCAGTTGTCTTTTTTATATACATGGCAGCAGAAGCAATGATTTTGTTCTCTTTGACTCATTGAATGCGAACAATGCTCAATCTAATTTACATCTTTGGATGGAAACATGGCTATGAAACATGACTTCCATATTCTTTGTTTTTTTCCAACAAAGGAAGTCAAAAGCTAAGGGTTCCCTTAGCTTTTTAGTTTTAGCTATTTAGTTTTTCTAAATGTCTTTTCTCAGGCTTTGAACATGGGTGAGTAAATTTTTATTTTTGGATGAACTATATCTTTAAAAGAATGCACAAACGTAATAAGAAAAAATCTGGAAATTACAGATAGTGACTGAGCAGGCTTACATTAAACAAGAGTCTTTAGACATTCAGCAAAAATGTACACATTTACAATGTCGCTACTATTAACTGATCAAATAATTTGTCAGCAAAACATTCAAAAGCATGCTCAATCTTTACCCTGAAAGAGACACAGGGAAAAGTTTCTTGTCTACTCAATTTGGCAGAAAAACAGATGGTTTTCTTCTTAAATAAAACAATTTGTACTAACATGTGAACTTAAAGTGTTGCAGTAGATCTATGTGACTGAAATGGTGGTAGGCTTAAAAAGTTGAGGTGGATGTGAGCTGCACGCATTGGTTACTCACCTACGAGATCATTGCCCTACAGCTCTGCACCCTTCTTAAGAACTCAAACACAGTTGGATCGCCTCATCTCGCCAACTGGAAGTGCTTCAAAAAGACTAAATGCCAGAGAACAAGCCAAGGCAAATGTCAGCCATTCTACCCTCTTAATTGCTTGAGAAAACACTTGGAAATGTATTTCCAGTTCATCTTGAAAGCATACAGTGAGAAATCTAAGCACTAAAACTTAATAGTATACCATAAATAACCCAATGTGTATTGGTTTATTTTACCCAACAAGTTTTAGATACCAAAACCATTGGAGCATTCCATTTCATGAGCAAAAAAAATCCCCCTCAATAGGCACTGATCCAACCACACAGAATGAATAGCCATCCTAAATGTGTTGACTGTACTGCTAGCATTAAGAGATGTGTGGGCCTGATCTGAGCTTCTCAAATAGGGAAGTGTATAATCGAGGTGCAGGCGTGGTTGGGGGCAAATGGCTTTACCTTAGTGGGGAGCACGTCCGAGGCATTGTGGGGCGCTAATTGTCTTCCCCCGTCATGCTCAACTTGGCGTCCTGAGGCCCGGGAACCATTTTAGCTGTAGTTAGCGAAAAGGGAAAATGTGGCTGGAACAGCAGTAATAATAACAAGACACATGCACTATTTATAATACAAAACAGATGTCATTTACAGTGTAGAATAATTTGTGTGGAGCCCCGGTGTGCTGCAAAAAGCTACACCGCCACCGCCTTTCCATCTCCACTGTATCAAATTGAAAACATTACAGTAAATGTTTGCCTGTGAGCTTTAGGTTAACAAATGAAGTCGAATGAGACCACGGGTCAAATGTACTAAGTGAGATGTGTGAGTGTGTGTGTGTGTTCCCCACCATATTTCTTTGGAATGAAAGACTGAAGACTGCCTGAGGGGCATTCTAGGAAAAGAGGACATACATAACATGATTAAACAAACCATTTTCTTTACCTTCTAAAATAAATCATTAAGCACTCATGGGTTATCCGAAGGGAAGCTACTCAACCGTCACAACATCTGCATTTGTAATTTAAGCAAAGCAACATCCCTCACAGATGGTGAGACTGTTTTTGGGTAGATTCCCTTCATAAAACATTAAAACATCTGGCACTAGTTACATGGACTTTTAACCTGGATGAATTATTCACACACTCTTTGAGATTATAATGTCATAACATGAATGTTTAATTGAATTGCCTAAAATGCTCATGAACTGGGACAACACATTTGTTTTTTTTAAGAACAAAAATACAATTTTATGAAGCACTTCACGGTTTTTCACTCTTGGAATTAACTAACTACACTTCAGGTTTTACATTCCCCATCCCTAAATAACTAAGCTTGACCACCCCATAGCCCAAGAAATCAATTCACATTACTCTAAAGGATAAAGATGACTGTAAATGTGAACAAAATAAATGGTCAGGGCAACATAATAGTAACTGCATGGGGCTGATTTCGAAATAAACAAAAAAATAACCGAAAGAAAAATACTTTCTTCTTTAAGGTCATTCGAGGGGTGACCGCCCATACCTGTGTAAGTCAATAGCCCCAAGTATTCTGTCCATGTAAGAGAGGGATGCAAGGCCAGAGATGGCAGTCGTTTGCTCTTTAGATCCTGCAAAACATGCATAACTGCTACTGGCATACTATAGAACCAGTTCTGTTTGCTATTTAGCAAGAACGACATCTCAAACTCATTCAGAGTCAATAAAGGTATGTGAATGTAAAACAATTCGATAACTAATATGTCTACTGGGTGGCAAACAAGTGTGTCCCTTTTGCAATTAACCTATTCTTACCCTCTACTCCTCTGCAGCAGGCAATTTTAACAGTTTTACTGGGCAGGCGTAACCATCTGCACTAGTGAGGCAGTGGTTAGAAAATTTAAGTACAGGTTTGTGGATTTGGCTGGTACAGATTTACCTAAATGTGCCCAAATATCCCCTTTACCCTATCAAGACTTCACAAAATAGGTCTAAGGTGTATGTGATTGTTCATGTGAACGCTCTTGTGAATGCTAAGGGATCAGCCGAACTATTGACAATGTGTTTTCACTCACTCTCTCACACACACACTTCACACAGGTCCTCTGTACATTCGATCTAAACTAAGCTGTCTTTTTAGTCACTATGAAACGTTAGTCCAAGCCGAATTTAATATACTCATGACAATTTGGATTTATGAGGTTTGTTCCTTTGCTGAAGCATGAATTTAATAAAACTGTACCTGATCTGAAGTACTTAATTTTACAAAAGTCTGTACACAAAAAAAGGTTTATTTTCACAAGGCACAGTCATTTGACTTCGAAGAAGCTTGACCCAACACGATGGTCAAAAATGTGTCTGATCTATAAAACATGACAGCTGATAATAATTCTGAGCACTCTGTGGAGAAAAAACAACAACATTTAAACAGAGGGGCTCAGAATCACTTTCATGGCCTTATAAACTTCTACATTCTGTACACAATGGCATATCTGACATTACGAGGGGATAAGATAACTGTGTAACTGCGATATCCAGGTTTTATGTAGCAATAATAATTCTATTTATCCCTTTCCTCCTCCTTTTGTCACGTAGGACCAAAAACTAGCGCACGCACACATTTTCACAAGCACACACGCGTGCACGCACTCATGTGAGGTGTTGGGGCTATCGATATGGGGACTCTGATGTGTGTTGGTGAGGGTAATCAGGGCGGCGTAGGAGGGGCTCCTTGTGTGTTGGAGTTGGCTCATACACTCTTGGTGGAATGCTGGTGCCGGGGGCCATCATCTGTTGCACATCCATCGGGCCTGGAGGCATCATGGGCATCGGAGCAGGCGGTGGAGGCGGAGGGGGTGGATAGTTGTACTGGTATTGATGATACTGATGATACTGCTGGTACTGTTGGTATTGTTGGTACTGCTGGTACTGTTGGTAGTACTCAGCATAGCACCTGGTTTGAAGAAGGAAATGTTATTACAATTTTACCAACACACATTTTAAATAACTTGAAATAAATTCATAAAATTAACCGCATTAATAAGAGTTTAGTAAATAAGAACAAAGGTGTGAATGACAAACAGTACAAATATACACAGGGGAAAATAATACAGGTCATACATTTAACAGGTCAGATGTAATATAGTAACAACCAATCACATGAATAAAAAATACATGTTGTTCATTATTAGAGTTAATAGCGAAAAATGCTATTTTTAATGTTATCGTCCGATATTAAAATTAGGCCTGATCTTTAAGCAGATAAATTACATAATCTCGAGAGCATCTTGTGGGAGTGCGGTAATAAAAGTGTCAAAGGACTAACAACTGTACATTACTGTAACACGCTTCATTTGAAAACATTTGAGCTGGTTTGAGTTCTTAGTTCATTCATTTTCGTTGTCATTTTATTTAGAATATATTTAACTTGTTTGTTAATTAAATACCGTTTTCATTAGCCTTTTTAATAAACAGTCAAGTTGCTTGTTAATTTGCTATGCAAAGAAAAGGAAATCATTATTTTTGGCATGTTGATTTATGTGAAATTGAGAATGGTCACACTTTACAATAAGGTTAATTAGCTAATGTTAATTAATGCATTTACTAACATGAACAAACAATGAACAATACATCTACTACTGTATTTGTTCATGTTAGTTAACGTTAGTTAATGAAAATACAGCTGTTCATTGTTAGTTCATGTTAACTGATGGTGCAATAACTAATGTTAACAAGCATGGACATGGATGTTATTAATGCATTAGTAAATGTTCAATTATGATTAATAAATGCTGTACATGTGTTGTTCATGATTAGTTCATGTTAGTAAATGTATTAACTAATGAACCTTATTGTAAAGTGTTACCTTGAGAATACAGGTCTATTTAATCACCTTGCATTTTTTAAATTACAGCTTCTTCTTTTTTTGCTTTGAGTAGGCTATTTTAAGATTAGTTCAAACTTTTATTTAGTTTTTAAAATAAAATCAGTTGTTTACTGTACAAAATAATCAATTAAATATTTATCGGCCAATAAGTTAGTTATCGACTTCCAAATCTAAAGAGTTATCGGTATCGGCCCAAAAATCCATATCGGTGCATCCCTAAGCATTATTATTAAAACTTTAGTCAAAATCAGGGAGTGATTTCCAACTTTTTTTTTTGTTTGCTTAACATTAAAGAAATAGTTCATTCAAAATTAAAATGATCCCACAATTTACTTTAATTATAATGACAATCAGTAATATTTACTAATATACTGGCCCTTCTCATCTTTGTAAATTAGTTGTGCTAAAAAGCACATAATTCTATCACATCACTCCAGTGGATTAATAAATGCCTTCTGAAGTGAAGCAGATGTTTTGTCTTATTTTCACTTAAAACAAAGTGAATGTACTTCCATCTAAACCAATAAAATAGAACATTATGTATGCTAGCACTAATAAATTGTATTATTTTTAAAAATCTCTTCATTTGTTTTTATATATTGAAGAAACCAACAGTGTAAGTGCCTGTGTACATTTAGATTCCACAATACTTTTTCTATATACATCTGATGTAATAGAAATTACTTATGTAACACTATTTTGATGCTCCATTTGAGTATTAGTGGACTGTTTGCCAAATATCTATTGATACTGCTCCTTCAACAGACATTTAACTGACAATAAGAAACTTTACAAGTACATGTCAACTTGCACTAACCCTAACCCAAGCCTTAACTTAACTGTCCAACTATAATCTAACGAGAATTAGTTGGCATGTAGATGCAATGTAACTTAAATTCAACAAACAGACCATCAAAATAAAGTGTGACCATTATTTAAAACAAGAGTCTTTTACCTTGCAATTGGGTCTCCATTTTTAACTGGAGGTAGCTCTGGACCTCCGGGTGGTGTTGGAAGCAGGGCTCGTCGTTTAGGTCGTGCCTGGGAGAATTGCTGAGGAGATGGATCAGGCAGTAATGGGGCTGTGCGCCGTATTGGACTTCTGTCTCGATCCGATTTGGTCACTGCCTGCTGTTCAGCCAGCACTTGTTGTCCCTGCTCAAAGAATCGGGCTCGGGCAGCTTCAAAGAGGGTGTGAGGGTCAGGCTCTGTTCCATAAGCGACGCCTGGTGGAGCCTCTGCTTCAGTCGGGTAGCCTTCAGCAGTCTGACTGGTTGAGCCAATCACCTGGTCTGCGACAGAACTATAGACTTGACTCGCCAGCGCACCATACACCATGGAGCTCACAGGTTTGCCATCAACCCTGGAAGTGGTCAAGTCTTTCAGAGCTGCAAACGTCGGGTCACTGCTTGCAGTGTTGTAGAAAGAGTTGTGGACACTCTGCTGCACCTGAAGGGGAAGCCCGGCAGCGGCAGCAGCTGCTGCTGCTAAAACAGCAGCTTGACTCTGGTGGTGCTCCATTGGTGGCCTATTGATCGGGCATTCACCTGCAAAGTGACCATGTGCACCACAGCTGGCACAAGGAACCTTGTTTGTGGACTGCTGTACCTTTGAGAGCTCAACTGCAAGCGGACGTCCCATAAACGTGGTCCCGTGTAGACCCTCAATGGCTTGTTCTGCGTCCTCTTTGTGCTCCATGTACACAAAGGCGTAGCCTGTTAGAGACGAGGGCTTTGCTGCAAAAGAATGAGTCAGAACGTCATTGAAAACCAAGATTTTTGAACAGATAAATGATATATTGAAGTAAAATCATCATTATTCTATGTTGCAAATGTTCACTAACGCAGGCTGTAATAAATTAAATAGAAATATTTGGGCTTTCAGTACAAGTAACAAGTGTTTAAATATAGAGTCTAAACTTGTAAAAATGCAATATGTCAAAACGTAGCATGGATTTTTAAAAATGTTTTACTCTCTGACATAATGATAGCAATTTTTGACTGGTCAGATTTTTTCTGGTCAGATTTTTTAAAGAATATGATATATCACAAATTTTATAAAATGTAGGATCCAGTCTTTTTTTCTAAAACACAACAAAAGACTAATAGTAGGGCTGCTCGATTTTGGGGAAAAATCATAATCACGATTATTTAAAATGATTACTGTTGAAGTCAAAATTATTAGCGCTCCTGAGAATTAGTTTTTTTTAATAAATACTTCCCAAATGATGTTTAACAGAGCAAGGTAATCAGGTAACAGTATTTCCTATAATATTTTTTTCTTCTAGGCTTAAATGTTTTATTTTAGCTAGAATAAAAGCAGGTTTAAATATTTTGAAACCCATTTTAAGTTCAATATTATTAACCCCCTTAAGAAATATATTTTTTGATTGTCTGCAGAAGAAACTACTGTTATATAATGAACTGCTTAATTACCCTTATTAAGCCTTTGAATGTCACTTTAATCTGAACGCTTGTATTTAGAAAAATATCTAGAAAAATATAATGTACTGTCATCATAGCAAAGATAAAAAAAATCAGTAATCAGAAATGATATATCAAAACTATTATGTTCAGAAATATGAAGTTAATTTTTTTTTTATTTCCATTAAACAGAAATTGGGCAGGAAAAGGGTTGCTAATATTCAGGAGGGCTAATAATTCTGACTTCAACTGTATATATACAGTTATTTACCACCCTGCAAAGGAAAGAGAAATAAATACAATAAAATAAAAATATGAAACAAACTGTGCTTTAAGCATCTTCACTGTAAGAATAAAACTTTAGCTACAAAAATCCTTCAGTCAAGAGCAGAGAAGGATTTTCTCGTTTTGTTTGTTTAATGATAAAAACAACATCGCGCGTTGTCACTTTAATGGTTTCTCTTTCGCGTGTCTTTTGATCTTCAACTTGTTTGTTTATTACACAAATGAGGGTTATTATGACTAATCACTAAACACCGCATTTTGAAACCTATTTGACTATTAAAGCGCTCACATTAAGATGACTTTTGATGTCTGCGCCTCGTCCGTTTCGCGAGGTGTGTGATGCGGCGCCAGGCGCGAGTATAATTCCAGCTTCAGTGTGCGAATGAGACCGAATGCTGACCTGCCGCATGCTTCTGGCTGTGTGCGCATGCCGCACACACATAAGCACGCGGTCTTTTGGGCTTTTTAGGAGCAACAGATGTGTACAACTGGAAAGGGGGCGGTATATGATGCAATAATCGTTTATCTTGATTAATGCTTTTTCATAATCGCTTGAAGCCAAATCGAAATCGGATTTTCGATTAATTGCACAGCCCTAACTAATAGTGTTTAATTCCTGAAGATTTTTAAATTTGTTTTTTTCTCTTTACATCCACTGCTGTGTCTTTTTTGTAGGTCACACGTCTTGTATGTCAACATTTTCCCTCGTTTCATGCTTTATTTTACAATTTGTACTGATTATTGTTTACTGTTGCTTAAATTTTTTGTCTACAAAAACTATAATAAAAATATATTCAAAATTTTAATTAAATTGTGTTAATATATAAATTAAAATTTGACAAAAAATAATTTGTATTATATTATTAAACATTCATATTATAATATTATTGCATTATATGTCTTCATTCATTCGTTTTCCTATGTCTTATACAGTTTAATAAATTTATAATAAATCACAAAAATGTACTCTATGCTCATATTCAATAATGAAATAAAAGGATTTGGTTTTAGAAATGTAGTTCTTGTTAAAGACCAAAATTATGTTTGAAGTTTTTTCCATAACCATTAAGCCCTAAAACTTTAACCTTCAGTAAAAATTGACACTCTGGCTCTTTTGATATCCCCCAAAGAACCAAATAAATAATATAACTGGTAAAGAATGTTGAAACCTGCTGTTTTTAGTGCATATAAAGCAGAAAAACTAAATATTGCTATGGCGCTTTTCACAAGAATTTAAGCCCTATGATTTTCTGTGATGCAAAATACACTTAGACTTCTGAAAGTCAAAAAATTTGACAAATTTTGATGCATAAATCAAAATTAGTGTGGCACAGCACACCTAATCAAATCGCAATATCACATCATGTACACACCGAATCTAAGGAACATCTTCAAGACAATCCATGAGATATATTTGTTCATTTAATTTTAAGAAAACGCAGCAAATGTATTGATTTTATAGAATATAATGCATTTCTCTAAAATTTCTCATTTAAACTTTAAAAACAATATAGTGAAGAAACAATTATGTAATCCTTATTTTAAAGTAATAGTTATTGCAAATGCTATTTAATAAAAATGAAATAAAAATATAAAAAAAAACTATTTTTACAATTAAACAGTCCTGAAATAAAGAATAAAGGACCTAATCTTTTAAAGTAAATTAGATTTCATGGGGCCCTACAATACAAGCAGTGGATTAACTGTACTTACTCTTTACTTTGTCACAATCAAGAACTTTGCCGTAAGGTGAGAAGAGATCATACAGGTCTTCGACGGAACAGGAAGCGCACAGGTTCCCAACAAATACTTTGGTGGAATTGAGGGGCCTCCCTTTGGACTCTTCAACTACGAGGCTCCGGCCGCGGTACTCTCGACCATTCAGATCACGGATGGCACTGTCAGCTGCCCCTTCTCCCTGCAGATGGACAAAGGCAAACTGCCTGAGTACAGTTATGTGTACCACTTCTCCAAAAGGGGCAAAAAGCGCTATTAGGTCATCTTGTGTGGTTTCCAAATCCAGATTCCCCACAAAGAGCTTCACTGCGCTGCTGTCGTCCATTGCACCCCAGAAAACCTAGAAATAGGGGAACAAGCCTTATTTCTTACTTTTGGCGGCAAGACCTAATTTAGTCTAAAACTAAACGTGGCTGATTTTAAGGCGAGCTTATGAACGTGAATTTATGACTGTGGACGTTTTTTTAATCACTGTGATGCTTTTCCGCTTTCTTATGTAAACATACGCTAAAGACTGACGCGTTGTATCGTCCTGCACATGGTGTTTTTTTAAACGAGGCAGTCAATATAAGTAATTTACTTAACAAAATCGTCTTTATACGTCTTTTTTTTTTAAATCAGCAAGCGCAAAATTACCTCAACTGGTTATAAAACTGAAGCTCATTGTATTCCGCCAGATGCGGGGACGCGCTAATAATCTGCGCCGCGCCGTCGCTTCTAGAAAGCGCTGAGCTCACCGAGTTTGGCTGACGACAACTGGCGGTGATTTATACGCGTACTGTAAGCCAGCTCACTTTAAGCATCTTCATCGATATATTTGCACCTGTCAAGCCCAAAAGATTAACTATTTTTGTTAATGGAAGCACTGAAATGGCGTAATTAGCACGCGAGCAGCTAGCTAGCCACGCGCTAGTTTGTTAGCACCCATGAACAAGGCGATACAAATTCGACGGCCGACCCCACTCACTGTTAAATCAATTCTTGATAGGGGAAAACATAATTGACCAAACGTTATCGAGCTGATTCGAGGCACTCGAACATCAAATAATACAAAATTGTTTTGTCTACGTTCTTACCTAACACAGTGGAGAGACTTCATATCCGTTTCCCGACTGTTTGCTTAACGGTGTTCTTGGCGTTTGGTCCGTGTGAGTACAAATAATAGGTCAAAGGATCCGGACGTTGTTATTATTATCAAAGAGCTTAGAATATGCTATTTGTTATTATAAATCATACTTCACATAGAACTTTAACACTCTCTCTCTCACACACAAAACAATGTAAAGCAAAACTTTATCAGTTTTACATAATATAATAATTATTATATGATATATGCATTATAACGCATTTGTGTGGAGTCAAAGAGCATAGAATCAATGAAAAGCTCGTTGGTGGAGTTTGCATGTTCTCCCCTTGTTTGTGTGAGTTTCCTCCGGGTGCTCCGGTTTCCCCCACAAGTCCAAAATAAAACATGTGGTGTAGGTGAATATATCTATGATACAGGTGAATTGACTAAGCTAAATTGTCCGTAGAGTATGAGTGTGAATGCATGTTTCCCAGTGATGGGTTGCCGCTAGAAGGGCATCGGCTGCATAAAACATATGCTGGATAAGTTGGCGGTTCATTCCGCTGTGGTGCACCCAGATTAATAAAGGGACTAAGCCGAAAAGAAAATGAATAATTGCAATAAAACACTAATGTATATGTACTATTTTTATATTTATTGTTGTTGTTTTGCCTCATGCGGCAGGACCATTAGATAAACATTTATTTCATAAACCCAACAAAAACGATTAATCTCTTTGTTGTGACAGAATATAAATTCCACCAAGCATTGATTGGCCAACTTTTCAGAAGTTAAAACCTGGGCATCGTTCCATAAATATAAACATGTCTGAAATTAATTCACCTTTTCATGCACAAATGCCCCAACTGAGGGAATGTCATCAGTAATTTACAGAATAAAAATGCTTTATTTAAAAACACAATTGTGAATCATAAAAGACTGATCTATTTATTATGCGGATTACCTACATTATACCATATTTATGATTTAACAATAACAAAAGTACTAAGTTGTAATACATGTTTATAAATACACAAACAATTATTACAATTTCCTTAGTAAATCCATATTATATTAAAAACGTAAACTGTTATTACCTAACCTCACGACAACGCATGCGCGTGCCCAGGTATTGGGCGACCTGTCACATACAGGAACGGTCTGCTGGAAAACACGTGTAGGAAGACGAAATATGGACAGTGTGAATCACTGTACGCTTCCTTCAAACCGTGTGCAAGGGGGAATAACAAGCAACGTTCCCTACTAATTATATATTCCTGGACTTTCCACACTTCTAAAAGAGATTCAGAAGATTGAATGGATATGACACTTTGGGAAAAATCACTAAGTCGTCTAATTTGTTCATTTTGAAAAAAGAAAAGCCATCGGCAGAGGTAAGTGTCTTTTCTTCTCTAGTCGATTTGTGAGTATCATGGGTTTTGTTATGACGAATGTTTTAGTGCCATGTGGCATTTACAGGAAAGTAAAATATTAACCCTTTTGTACGAGGGAACTGAAAGTAGGAAGCGTGGGAAAGTTCACTCACAAAGGAGTTAGATGAGAGTTAATTATTTTTTTTTAATACCAAACTAAATGTACGATGACGTTAATGACGACAGATTCTATTTAAATCTATTGTAGATTATATTGAATGCATTTTTTACAATAGTAAATTAGTACTGTTATAATAGTAGGTTGAAATTATGTTGAATTTATGTTGTAATTATGCATTTCAACATATTGCCTTGTCTCATTCCAGATTGAAACACACAAACACACACACACACACACACACACACACACACACACACATATATATATATATATATATATATATATATATATATATATATATATATATATATATACACACACACACACACACACACACACATATATATATATATATATATATATATATATATATATATATATATATATATATATATATACAGTGCTCAGCTTAAATAAATACACCCCTCACAAATCTATTTTTTAAATTCATATTTAATAGGAAGCTATACAATATTATATTTGTGCATATACATTAGATTAGTCAGTACTAAAGCCAAATCTGGAGCTTATCTAACAAAATAACTTACGATAACGATCCAAAACTAGTACAGCCAAATTGACATATTGTAGAAAAATATTAAATACAAATTTTAAAAAGAGGAAAAGTCAAGAGGAGCACAAAAATGGAAAAATTTAGTTGAACATTTTTTAGGTTGTAAATGTTTTTTCAATATTTTGCTTAAATTTATTTGTATTATCTTTCAATTTCTAAATATGCTCGGTGACTAAAATATTATTTTAATAAATATATCTGTTTAATAAATCTGTTTTGTTTCAATGCACCAAAATGCATAGAATATATTCACAGAGAAATGGATAAACATATTCACTTTCAAAATGGGGTGTATTCAACTATGCTGAGCACTGTAAGTTTATATAGTGTTTATGAGTGTGTATATATGCATGTATGCATGTATGTATGTATGAATGAGTGAGTGAATGACTGCCATAGCTTTAAACACTATAGAGTTTTTCCTTTTTTTATTTACTTTTTTAAAGAAAAGACACCCACTGTAATTGAGTTTAGTCCTGTAATCCAGATACATCTCCTGAAAATATCTTGCTCAGGCAACAATTAAAAAACCTCAGCTTGCATGACAAAACACAGATAATAGCAGCTCTTTTTCTGTGCATACTTAAAAGCTTTTTCCCACCAGTCTGGACTTGTTCAGCTCATGCCGAGACTCCAAAAGATGCAGCAGTTGTTCTAGAGCTCAGGTGGACAGGACTGCTGACAGTTTAAACCCTCATTCAAGCCCTTATTTACACATTAACTAATATTCACTGTTATAATGGTCAACCACAAGAAAGAATGCCAAATTAAGATGGTGAAATTTGGCATAATCTCTTATTATTGCTTTTACAATAAATATTGTTTTTAAAATTCATTTTTAAAAAAAGAAATAAATTTTCCACCAAATCAAAACGATTTGGTGTCTACATCAATATAAATGTTAGAAGTTAATTTTATATTCATAGAAAGCATATTAAATTCAATTAAAGTAGCATTTGTGAAAAAAAAGGTCAAAACTTGAGTAAAATAATGTTTCATCATCATTTAGTATATCATCTATTTGCAAAAAAAAAGGAACATAGCTGTTCTAACAACATAAACTATTTAGTAATCACACTACATTTAACTATCATATAGTATAGTATTCTGTATTTTGTGCTGAATGGGTAAAAACTAGTGATTTTAAAGTAAGGAACACATTTCTGGTGTGCATATTCAGACAAATCAACACCACTACTTTTAAAACAAATCATTGGAAGTTATGTTGAGTTGAGACAACTCAAAAGTGCAATTGAGTGTAGGACTAAGCTTAAAGGCATAGTTCACCCAACATGAAAATTCTGCTAAATTTTCTTCAAAGGAAGAATGCTGGTTGCTGGCACCAATCAACTTCCATAGTAGGAAAATATTACAACAGAAGTTGATGGGTACCAGCAACCTGCATTCTTCAAAATATATTATATTGTGTTTACCAGAAGAAAGAAACAACATGAGGGAGAATTAATGATGTCATCTTCAATTTTGGATGATCTATCCCTTTTAGTCTTGTCTGTGAATCAGGGCAGAGGATAAATATGATGGACAAACATTTTGTATAAAAACATTAGTATGTGTCTTTTTAATCACAATAAAAATGTATGAGCCAAGTTGAGCCCAGTCTGGAGTGTGAAGATTTTTGGAAAAAGTATCTGGCCTTTCCTAAATTTTAACAGTGGAGGCGTGTGTGTCTGTGGGTAGGAATGCCCACGGGAGTATCTAAGCCTCTGTTGCCATAGCAGCCATTGGCTCTTGCCAAAAAGTATTCCATACTAGCCCACACAGAGTCAACCTGCTACCCAACCTCACTCAACTAGTGAACAAGTTACTTTAGGGAGTCAGCTTTAGAGACTAAAGAGTGTCTGTTATATAAAACGCATCAATGGAAAGACAAACTTTTCACATAATGCTTTTACTTTCACATAAAATCATAAAGCCTTTCCGTAGCTCAAAAAAGTAGAGTATGGCATTAACAGCGTGGGTTTCAATGGACCACACAACCAGTCAAATTGCACAGGAAAAAATTGGGCAAAAGCGAAAAATACATTGTGAGTGAAAATTGTTAATTTTTACTTAATGCAAAAAAACATTAGAACAAAATATGTTACATGAAGATAATTTCCTGCTTTAAATATACAGACTAAAAGTTCACATTTTAATTAGTGATATTCATTGCTAAGCACTTCAGTTTGACAGTTTTAAATGTAATTCTTTAAACTCTTAGATTCCAGAGATCCAAATAGTAGGGCTGGTAATCGAAGTAATGGAAATCGACATTCAGAACTATTAATCAATGTCATTTTTCCAGGTCAATTTTTTCTGTTATTTTGTCTACCGCATGTGTAGTCACGTGACCCTGCTTTATTAAGGCTTGATTTATACTTCTTTTTTAATAATTGTATTTTATTGGATTTTTCAAGAACAACCACAAAGACACACATTTATATATAAACACATACACAAACACACACAACACTAGGCACTGTCTCGGACAAATCCCATACAATGAGTCAATGAACAAATAACAATGACATCACAGTTTAGCAAGTGACAACAGAAAACAGAATAAAGAAGTAAAATTAAATAATTAAATATGTAAAATAAGTAAATTAAGTCTCTGAAGTATCATCAGAGGTTGAGTGGCTGGTTTGCTCATCTAGATAGTTTAGAAATAAACCCCAAACACTAAAAAACTTTTCAATAGAATAAGTCCTCAAAAATCTCAGTCTTTCAATCTGTATTACCGAAGTCATGTATGCAATCCACATTTGAAATGTAGGAGGTGAAGATGACTTCCAATGTCGAAGCAAAAGCCTTTTGGCCACAATCATACCTAAAGACAAAGACTGCTGGAGGCCATGTGGGAGATGAGAAATGTGTTGTGAATATCCAAAAATAGCAAGTTCTGCATCAGGTGGTAAAGATTTGACATAAGCTTTAGAGTACCAATCAAATATGTTTGACCAAAATGTATATAACAAAGGGCAGAACCAGAAAGCATGGGAATTGATTTATACTTCTGTGGGCACTTTGCAGTCACATCTGATTTCTGGACAAGTAGGACGATAGACTCGTTCTTGAGCCTTACTTTGCACTACGTTGACGATGATTGGAAGCATTTTTTCCTATTTGTTTACAGAAGATGCAAGAAATGCACTGTTTAAGATATTATTTACAGGATATACAAGAGTTATTTTATTTAGAAGAGATACTGCTTATTTTCTACTTTTAATTTGAAAAACATTTAATTTATTTTGTTTTTAAAAAAGAAAGTTATTTATTTTCACTCTTTTATAAGAAAAGTTTGTTTTAGGCAATGTGTGTTTTAATTTTAGTTGTTCAACGTCATTGTTCAATAAATAGGCATAGATTGTAGATAGTGTGCATATCCTTCAGTTATTTTAGAATCCAGTAATGCACCCTTCATTCAGAAATCTCTTGTAATATGCGAGCATACTATGGAGTACAAAACCTGTTAGTTAACAAATAATAAATAATAATAATCGTTCATTAACCGTAATCAAGTTAAAATGTTCAATTAATCGAGATATGATTTCACGCCATATCGCCCATCCCTACCAAATAGTTATATTTCAGTCAAATGTTATCCAACTCTAACAAACCATTCATCAGTATAAAGCTTATTCATTTAGCTTCCATGTGAATGTTTTAGCCTGTAGTTTAATTCATGTGTTTTTTTCTGCTCAGTACTACAAAACTACTAAAACCATGTTCAAAATATTCCAAACCATATCTGTCCCACTACTGCAATTTCTGGTGTCTCCAAAGATTAGACCCGATTTACATCTAAACAACTAGAGGTACTTGCCTTTACCTCCTTACTAGCTAGACAACAGATCTAATTTCTTGGAGGTCTACTCAATCACCAGGGCCCGGTTTTTCAAAAGGTTTAATCTGGGTGAAATTGATTCGGATTTAGTAATCCTGTATTTGCGATCTGTGATCACGTAATCCTGCTTACTTTTTGAGCCAGTTTTTCAAAGCAACATCGAAATTGAATCAATCTGATCCGGATAGGAACTTCTCAGGATCACTAAATCTGGATAACCAGTGCTCAAACAGGATGGGAAATCACAATGTAGAACTATAGATATGTAAAGAGCAACAAGTAGAATAGCCGGTGCGGGGCCAATATACGTTTATTTTTATTTGAAATGAAAACACACACATTTAAAAAAAACTAAAAACAAGAAAAACCCCACCCCATCCTTTTCCAGCAGTCCATTCATGTGAGACCTACAACACAAACACTGTACAATGAGGATATTAATAACAAGTTTCAAATACAGATGTATTGAATTAAAAAAGACTTAATGTCAAAAACTCCACCATAACTTCAGTCTTCCTCATCTGATGAGGAGAGACCAGCTTGTCTGAGCGTAGCCTTTAGGAGGCGGATCTCAAGTCTGGCCTTGGTTTGCTGCAGTTTGGTCAGAGTCGGTTGTTCTTCTGCCAGACAAAGCTGTGCTTCTGCCCTTTTAGTCTCTCTTTGCAACTGTTGAAATTGATTAAAAAAAATCAGTCATTGCCATTCTTTGTATTTTTGTTTATTCTGTAATCATTGCATGCATCACTAATAAATACTCTAAAAAGAAAAATATTTTCCATTGTGATGATAATATATTAATTAGTGACAGAATAAAATTGATTATTTTTGGTCAATTTTGACAGCTGTTTGGGGGATTACTTTATGAGGCCAAACGCTTTCTAATTTGCTGTAGGCCTATACTGAAAGGCTGAATACGTTAAAGCCTACCTAATCACTGTAGCCTGACGGATGAACAAATACAATTAAAACATTATGAATAAATAGGATATCTTGTAAGACACTGCCTGATCCAAATATAGTATTATTTTAAAAAGTTTTAATTAAATTTTGGCCATGAAATCCACACTAAATCCACCCTTCTTATGGGATCAGTTTAATCCAGATTTTTTGGATCAAAGTTATCCGAATCCTACAAGAAAGGTCTGAAAAACCCAAACTAAAGGTTTGATCCGGACCAAAATCAAGATTGGATTACGTGATCTAATCCGATTATATAATCTATTTTTTTTTTTTTGAAAAAAACATTTTCAAGATTTGATCCGATCCCTGATCCAAAATCCCTCATAACTCATTTTCATCTGCTTCTAAGATTGTCCACTGATTGATTCCATCTAATTCACTGATATATCCTCCTTCAACCTTTTTTTTTTAAATAAATTCTTTGTGAATTTCTGAAAAATGTTACATTTATGTCTGGTTTTGCGATCAATGATCACAAATGCATAAATGTAAACCCATTTAATACAGTAATCAATCTCAAAAGCAGAATCTCAAACTCAGTATATATTATGCTTCTATTGTGTCATCTTTAACAACAACAACACAAGTGCCTTTTCAAAGGTCAGCATGAATGCAGAACAAAAACATGTGGTACTAGTCAGACTGTGACGCACTGTTCTCACATGGCTAAAACAAGGACAAAATCACTGAGGGAGTTTCCCAATGCCATTTAGAAGGACTAAGCAAGCGCATGATTGCATTGAAATAGCCATTCGTGGAAAACTGAATGAGAAAGAGAAAGATATTTAGATGAATGATTTACTGTAAGACAGTGGTCTCAGCCACTAACTTGATGACATCTTCTAAAACTTCCTTTTTTGGCAAGGGACAACCAAACAGAAGAGAAACAGAGATTTAAAGCAGTTGCGAAGATGCAGGAAGACCCAGTGTACGACTATCCTGAAGCTCGGCCTCTAGGGGACAGACGTGCATGTCCACAGAGATCCCTGAGGAGCATCAGTGTACTGGACCGGCTCTTACTGACGCACCCTGTGTGGCTGCAGCTCTCCATTAACTCGGCTACAGCTTTACACATTCTGCGGCGAGAGCCTCCTGGGGTGAGCAGTGCAGTCAGACCACCTTCATCTATGAAATGAGAATGTTACAATCAAGCTTTAACGACTTTTTGGAAACTTTTGTTACTTGCAGACGTTTTTAGTGCGCAGGTCCAGTACATCACAGAAAAAGATGCTCTGCGTCCGGCTGGCAGACGACAGCATGCCTTCCTTTCTCAAACAGGTCTTCATCCGAGAAGAGGACTCAGGTGAGTTTAAAATCTTAATAAGAGTTTTATGGAGAACTCAATTCAGCTGGGTGCAATTTTGGTGTCCAAATAAGATTCATTTGACAAAAGTGACATTATATAGATATAAAGTACAGACTAGGCCTGTGTGATTTGGTGAAAATAATTAATTGCTTTTTTATTATTTATTTTATTTTTTGAAATATTGCGATTTTGTAGTCAAGCTTCAGCTCAATCTGTATCATAGCTTCTTACTGCTAAAATGCAGTGAGTGTTAGTTAAAAAAAGGAACTTACTTAAACATTTATATATTTATATTCAGATTTTTTTCAGAAACACTAATTTTTCTCTAGAGCAAGCAGTAAACACAAATAAAACGACCTTACCCCTCTGTAAACAAGTTCAACTCAAATAAGCAAGATAGTGTAGCTTATTATACAAACAAATAATATTAATTCTAAAAGTAGAGAACACTCCGCAAACTAACATGGCTGAAGAACCACTATACGTTGTTTACTTCTGTTTTCATTACTCCACAATCAGTATTATATATAGTTTACTTTCATAGATATTTATATATTTACATTTCATAATTATACTTCAGTCACTTCTGTGTATATATGTGTATGACTTCACTGTGGATGGCAAAGTAAGAATTTCATTGTACAGGGAAACGTGTTTCCTTACTGTGCACATGACAATAAACAATTGAATTGAATTGAAACAACTCTGAAATTGTATTTTGCTGTTGCTTGCTACTAGATTGAGTGTCACTGGCAATACTTTCAGTTGACTTTAGCAAGACATTCATCACTCAATTGTGCTCACTCAATTAGCTAGTAAGACTATTACACACAAACGGCATTTGCTCTGGGCAGGGGAAATTAAATAATACTCATCAGTAATTCCAGCGTTATGGATGTGACATTTGCAGTAAAAACTCAAAACATAAATTCAATGAAAAAGTATATATTGACCTTATAATAAAGCAACTGTTTATATTTTCCCAAACTACTAACCATAGAAATATCAATCTGTGAAAATGTTTTGTACTGTAAATGAGGAAAATAAACATGGGTTATGGATGTGACCAAAAAAATCTTTAAGTTTGCAGTATACAACATACTTTGTAGAAATTCTGTGAATTAATCTGCACAACCCCCCAAAAACTTTGCTACTCAGCAGGAAAAGATATGGCTCACTATAGAACAAACATGATTGATTTTATATTTTTGCATTTATGAGGAATAAGCTTCGTTATGGATGGGACACCTCTGTGTTATGACCGATGTGATATTACCATCTGTGTGACTTCGGTAGATAAAATAAAGTTGTTTAAAAACATAGAGACATTTTTGAATATGTCTAAAGTACTGTAAAATACACAAACACAAAAAACAAATGGTTTCGGTATTTTGTTGAAAACTTTTTTCATGGCAAGGTTGACCTGTGCATGAAATTGCTCTAATATTTTTCATAATGCAGCCTTTTGGGATTAGCTAATCGCAACATTTCAAATGGTGATTGTGATTTGATTTCGATTATTCGCACAGCCCTAGTACAGACCTTCTGAAATTATTCATCAACATTTTTTAAATATTGTTCCATCATTATTCAATGTGAACAATGTTTATGCGGAAATAATGCATAATTATTTCGTACTTTTTGTACATATCTTGTACATTAAATAATTAGTCATACTTAATTTTATAACATTTTAATTTATTTAAAAATGGCTTGTTGGCAAATGGGTAAAGCCATCTAATAGGCTGAATGATAGTAGAATGATTTTTTGAGCATTTATGTGTGATCTTTTAATTAATCATCAAATGATTGTTATAAAAATGCAGACAAGATTTTATTTTTTGGTTCATAAACTGTTATGCTGAGGGACACTTCAGAGGTCAATCTGTAAATCATGGTAAAACTAATCATCATGTACTTGATAACATTTTGTTTTCATTCAGACTTAAGGTAACTAAACTATTTCCCTTTTATCAACAGCCTTCTCTTTGGAAAGTTCAGCTATCAGTTTCCCAGACTTGTGCAGACTCATTGCCTTCTACTGTGTCAGTCGGTATGTAATATTTTACAACAAAAGCACAACACTCCCAAAATATGATATTTCCTTTTTCATTATTCTGATATATCTGTATTTTAGGGATGTCCTTCCTTTCACTCTGGAGCTGCCTGAAGCAATAGCCAAAGCTTCCTCACACAAACAGCTGGAGTCAATCTCTCATATGGGTGTGGGTAGGTTATGAAATATTTAATTACTCTAAAATATCCAGCGTTGGGTCACTGTATATTCAATAGCTGATGCAATCATTTTAAAAAGTCAAGGCCTATGACAGATACAATAATGACATGCCATAAGAACCAGACATATTTCTGACATGAGTGTTAATAAACATCAGCTAATCCGGTTTCACATGATCTCAATGCTCATCTGTATTCCAGAGTTCTGGAGTTCCCAATTAAATGTACGAGGTCCTCGTAATGAAGCTCCTGCTGCTGAAAAACTCTTGCTGCCAACTGAAACCCTACAAGACTGCGTAACGCCCGTCAACCCAAACCCCACCCCGTTCCAGGAGCTCTGTCCAATTCAAACACGGAGCCCCTGTGAGCTGAATTATGGGGGAGGCAAAGGTTTATGTTTCATCAACCCCCTCTTCTTACAAGACTACCCAGGTCGCAATGCTATGCGCAGGCGTCATCATTTTAAAACCAGCATAAAGGTTCGGGTCTCCACTGAACACTCCAGCCCTCTGTCACCACCTGTCGTCCCACCACCTCCACCGCCGTTACTGGCTAAAGCCAAATGCAAAGCAAGATTGAAGATGACCCCACCTGTTGGTGTTCAGGCTGGTCAGGAAGCTAACAAGAACACTGAACAGGAAGCCACGGATTATTTGCAACCAAGTGTAGTGTTACAGAAGAAGACAATGGTCTCACCTACTCTTTCTCCTACTGCTGAAGATGACTATCAGATGCCCAGCTCTCTTCTGAAGGTACTGAGACTTTCCAATTCTGAATAAAGTGGTGCCAACTCTGCTCAACAGCAGGGTTTCATAACACATGGCAAAAAGTAGCGCTAATCCTTTTTTCTGCGTTTACTAACAGTATGCTTGCACTTTTAGGCACCGCCAAAAGTCATGGAGCAGAAAGAACAAGTCTGTGAAGATGAGGAAGAAGGGCTGGTGCTGGAACAGCAACACGCTCCGTCTCTCAGTGAACTGGACAGCAGCACTTCACTCAGCAGCCTGGATGAGATGGAGGAGAGTCCAGAGCGTCCTCCGCTTGTTCGAGGCACTAGTAACCCCGTCATGCCTCCTCCAAAGAAGGCTATGTCCGCCCTACGCAAGATGAGCGCTGCTTTCATATCCTTTTTTGCCCCAGAGAAACGAGTGGCACGGATGGTGGAGGACCTGTCCCGTGATCGCCGCATGGCTTTTGGCGCTCTGGTTCAGGACTTCCTAAGGCAGCAGAGAGAGGCTCTGAAGCCCCATTGCTTGACCTCTGCTGTTCAGCTGCTGCAGGATTTGCGTCTTTTCATCAATCAGGCCAAAGCCTTCCTTCTGGAGTGTGGAGAGCTTGAACCTCCCATTGAGACTCTTCTGACTGAGAATGAGAAAGGTATTTATGCCAAGTATTCACATCCTGAAAACTGAAGCCAAAACATTTTGATTACCTCTAGATGGCGGGCAGTAGTATAACCTTATATTTTCTTGTTTCCAGACCAAGCTCTGGAGAAGGCCATGTTTCGCTGTATTCTAAAGCCTCTCAAGCCTCAGATTGATGCAGCTCTTCTGACTCTGCACAAACAAGATGGTTCCTTCCAGAGAATGATGGACAGCTTGCAAAGAGCCAAAGCCGCCTCACCCCAAAATCTCTTTGGGGTTCAAGCAGGTGTTCCTGATGCCCAAGGCATTGAGAAAATTAAACACAAACTGACTCTAATGCAACGGGCTTACTCACCCATTGACAAAGTGCTGCTGCTTTTGCAGACCTGCAAACTCATTTACAAAGCCATGAAAAATAAATCAGGTAAGGATTTCTTGAAGTGAAGTTTATTGATAAACTTTGAGAGGATCACATGCTGATGATTGACCAGAGCTGGTACCATATTATCACATGATTTACCATAGTTTTCTAACCTCAGATATCTTTATCTTGAAGAATACCCTTAGATTTTTCCTAGGTTATTCCAGGATAGGGTGGCAGGGCAGCTCAGTGGTTAGCATTGTTGCCTCACAGCAAGAATGTCGCTGGTTCCAGTTCCAACAGGGCCAGTTAGTGTTTCAGTGTGGAGTTTATATATTCTCCCCATGCTCGCGTGGGTTTTCTCCCAAAGTCCAAAGACATGCAGTATAAGTGAATTGAATAAACCAAATTGGCACTGTTATGAGCATTTAGTACTAAGCTTTCAATGCACAAACTCTAATAATTAATGAACAGGCCGAAAGAATGAATTTAGGGGAGCTCTAGAGACCTCAGACTCCCCTCGATACGTTTTTAGTGAGGACTCCTTCTCTGACCAAGGCTGGTTGTATTGTACAAAAGCCATCACCGTCACACGCTTGTACCCATTCAAAATACTAATATGTACTTTAAGATACCAATACGGCTCTTTTAGGTAGTAATTGCCATCGTTTAGGTATTAGTATGTATCGTTAAAGTACGAAAAATGTTCCTTTTAAAAAAGTACCGCCCCAGTGACCGCTTTTCTACCCTAATTACTATGTTACAACCTGTTTAGAATTGCAAGAGAGAGACAATGCAGACCTAACAACTGAGATGACTCAACAATATAGTTCAAGATATTGGTTCCATGTTGTTTGTTGGCAGATTTATTATACAGGTATGTTCTGTAGATTTATGTGGACCTTTGCCATGATCTAACTCTTATTAATATTCCTAAAAACAGGTCAGGAATTTGGAGCAGATGACTTCCTGCCTGCTCTCTCCTACGCGATGGTGCTGTGCAATATGCCAGAGATCTTGCTGGAAGTGGAGTATATGATGGAGCTGTTGGAAAGCTCTTGGCTTACAGGAGAAGGTAGGGATAAATACTTTTTAGCCTCAAAACCATTAAGACAAACCTATTTTACTATGGTACATTCAGTTGTTCTCTTCCCAAACCAAAAATAACACATTTATTATTTTTATCTTTAAGGGGGTTACTATCTGACAAGTGTTTATGCCAGTCTGAGTCTGATTCAGAGTCAGCCAGAAGATCTGCCACCCAACGGCCTAACAAACCAGGCCAGAGAGTCTTTGAAAGAATGGAGCCGACGTCGAAGCAACGAAACCACAAATCAGAAAGACAACAGATTGCACCAGGTCAGAAATACTAGAGTTCATCCACATTTAAAGGTTTACTGATATTTACAGCAGAACAGCTAACAAAAAGATATTTGTGTTGTTTTTATGCCACAGAAGTTCGTAAAGGTGCTGTTTCAAGATGGCGACAACAGCGTGGTGAAAACCCTAATGTGGAAGACCGCATTCAATGGTGAGGCTATGGCCCAGCTCTGTGCCGTGAAGTTTGGAGTGGACAAAGCGGAGGAATACAGCCTATACTGCAGGAGAGATGGAGTTTTAACACCTCTTTCGCCTGACATACACATTCAAGACCTGCAGAGCATGGGTGTGAGTGGCGTTCCCCTAATTTACCAGGCGTCCCATCAGGATGAAAGATCCCAGAAGCTGAACAGAAGGGGCGCGGTGGATCTCACAGAGGAGGCTTCATAATGTGGGACTTTCTTTCAGACACCACATGTAGGTCTAAGAAATCCTTTCATACAGCACACAGTTTCCTACTGAACGGCTGATGAAATCATCATAATAAGCTCATAACAGAGCTCAAAAACAATTGAGCTTTTTTCTTCACTTAATTTATTTCATGTTGATTGCCCCTATTTAAACCTAATATTAAGATGCAGTTTTGTTGATCCCAAGAGTTAATAGAGTCTGAAACATTTTTAGTGCATTAATGTGTTTAAAGAGACACCAATCGATGTTAGGGTTATGGTTAGTGTTATAGCCTAGTCAGTGGTCAGTGTGCCAACATGTAGCGGAACTGCGTCCAGAGTTGGAATCCTAACTTGTGGACCTTTCCCAATCAATATACTGTCCTTATCATAATAGAAAAAGAAAAGAGACCATACAAAAAAGGCTGCTACTCCATATACTGACCTAAATTTGCACATTACTCAACATTTTGTAGAAACATTTCAATTTAAACGGTCATCTGAAATCATACATTCAGTTTTGGGCTAAGGCCCAATCCCAATTCTATTTTTGTACCCCCACCCCTTTAAAATTTACCCTTAAGAAATGGGACAGCAAGAGTTATTAATATGGATTATAGATGGAAAAATTTAGCAGTGTTTTTTTAAGCATGACAGTAAAACATGAATGCGGTTATAATTGTAATAAAACGTGTTTGTTTGTTGTAAAAAATCATAATAATGACAAAAAAAAATACTAATTTGTGGATATCATACTTCCGGGTGCAGCTATGCTGCCGTTGTGGCTGGTGTATTCTGGGAAACTTTCTACCCCTTGGTTTTGAGTGTGGTCCTGAAACATTTCCATTCGAAGGGGTATCTGCCCCTTCCCCCTAGCCCTATGCCTTCAAGCTAAAGAAAATTGAGACGAGAATAAGGGGGAAGGGCTAAGGGGTAGAATTGGGATTGGACCTAAATGTCCCATAAAGTGTTTTGAATTGTGTATTTTCAATCAATGTTTAACGTAATCTCAACTGAAAAAAAAAAACAGCCAATAGCATTTTGAGCTTAAGCACAAAGAAGAAGCATCTTGATGGGGGTGGGGCATTTTAGATACTGAAGTATAGGGGGAAAAAAATAATTGACCCATTTAGGTGAATTTTCCCATATCTTATAACAAACTGCAAGCTAAATGCAAATTTTGACAGTTATGGAGAACACTAGCTTATATATATTCTTAAAACTAAGCATATTAACTTAAAAAAATATAATTATTTTATATTATTATTTTTTAACTGTGAAGGCTTTCCACAGCATTTAGTGTAGTTTTGTTGCTGATGGTGCAAAAATTGTAACTTTTTTTTTGCATCAATTTCTGTTGACTCCTTTCATGTTAGTATGTAAATTTTTACATTTTAAAATACTGGATCAAAATATTTGAAGCTCATAGAAACTGATGACTGTAGACCACAGGTCTCAAACGTGATTCCTGGAGTGCCACAGCTCTGCACAGTTTTGCTCCATGTAAACGGGAATGTTTCTCCCTCGTCTATTTATCAACTAAAACAGATCTTAATATCAGGGGTAAGCAGGGTTGAAGTTTACACTCTCATAAAGATTCTTCATTGCCATTTATGGTTGGTTACAAAACAAAATGTTATGTCCATCATTAAAATCTTCATGACACATTTAGTTCTCAGAAACAAATGATTCAATGGCACTACTGCAAAAATCCCCCTTACTTTCAAAAGTCTGAACTGTAAGATGGGAAAAAAATGACCCTGTTTTATTAGTATTTCTATTGATGGTGTTGTGTATGAAAATAATGAGTTAATTTATTTCATTAATACAGTCATTTCTTTTGTTGTTTTATTTGTACTCTTCTTATAGCTTGGTTATTAATGATTGGATTCAATTCAAGCGTTTATACTTCCTTTACTTTTTTCTGAAGTGAAAAAAATGTGTCTAACAAATTGTGGACATTTCTCATTCATATAACATCAGTATTGAGTGACTGGATATTTAATCTGTTGTCTACCTTGTATTATGATATTATTTATATAAAAAGTATTGTACGAATGTTTTCATATTTTGCAAATAAAACAAAAACAATACCTTCAGAAGTAATTGGTTTTATTTGGTAGGGACTGTTGGTATTCACCGTCCACACTGAACAATTTGACATTTCATTTTTGAGAAACCTGAAATCGCGTAAACCAACACAGATTTTTAATTTCTTAGAAGGAATGCTATCGTTTCTCCCAGAAAACAGTGAATCAGATGAATTCCACACTAGATAGGATCTGCAGAGCGTGTTTCCATTTTAGAGCAAGTTGAGAAAGTATGTTATGTGTTGCGATTACATAAATCCCTCCCTCACACAGCAAGTTCACTCCTGTCGGAGCTTTGGCATGCCTGTGTGGGAAGCGTGGGATGATCTGAAGCAGGAACAGAAATGTCTAATTAAAACTCTAATCAGTGTTACTTTTGTTTTAAAGTCAATAGCGATATAGAAAGAAGAACTGTGGGATGGAAAACACCGGGGTTGAACTTAAGAGCGGCTTTTCCTTCCTCTTATGTGTGAATCATTACCAGTCTTATGTGTTCTCCGGCCTTTTTTGTTCATTACGGGAAGTTACTGCAGCTCGGTGTCGTCCAAAATATGACAGTGTCCTCTTAGCACCAGCAGAGGGAGTCTTTGCGGGTCATTTCCAGCAGCTGAGCGTCCACCTCCTCGCTGTCATCAGGGAAACGCTCGATGAAAGACTGGATGAGGCCTTCAGCGCTGCCCTCATATTCAATCAGCTCCACAGCGTCATCTACAGTACAAACAACAGCATGCTAATCCTTGTGCAGATGCACCAACCTGATTTCACCAAGTATGACATGTTCCTAGATTAACCTCTATGTTGATCCTGGAACAACATTCCAATCAGCCAATCAGAATTAAGAGATACATTAACCGTAATGCCAAGTCTAGGCTTATGCATTTCAATGTGATTGTTATCCAACTATTATTCCCCTCTGATTTTGGGAATAATTTACAGTTATGGTTGGGTGTTGGGGTAGGGAATGTTACCTGGTGTTCGAGGATCAACACAGATGTTAATTAAGGATCCCATCGTACTTGGCAAAAGCATGACGTGCTGTGTAATGCGATTCTGTTTCTGCTCTGACAAGAATGTTGGTGAATTAGCATGAAGGCTAAAGAAGACAAACCTTTGATGAAGGTGTTTGCCTGGACAAACATCTTGCGAGCTTCTTTGCGGAGAAGAACCGTTTCTCTGAGGCGCAGGAAGTCGTGGGCACCATCAGAAGTGACCGCAGAGTAGCCCTCATACAAAGCTCTTCCTCCTTCTACATCAGCTGTGGACTTGTAGACCTACAATCAAACACAAAAGGTCAACTCATTTAAATTGTTAAAAAGGTTTTTGTTTTTTTTTTCTTAGAGAGAAAAAAAAAACACAAAAAGTTAACTGCGAGGTAAAATAAGTGTGCACTGACACTAAGCTATCTGAACCATGCTCAGATGTGCTCCCCGTTGTGCCCAGGTGCGGTTTTGTTGGCCTGCCCAGGCCCGGTTGGAAGAGGTGTGCCAAAGCATGGTTCAGTTGGGCTTTGGCATGGTACGCTTGTAGTGTGAGTGCAAAGCGTGCCTGAGCCCGAAACTGAAGACACTTTTAAAAGGCTGTTTCTATTTAATAATCAATCCTACTTTTTAATGAACACAAACTTTCAAAGTTCATCACAGATGCAAACCGCTCGCTGCACGTCAGATGCATTTTCAGCAAACCTCCTAATATGTGAGGCACGATGACTTTTATGATAATTTATCAGTGTCAAAAGTTGTGGATCTGTTCAGCAAAATTTTGACTGTGTGTCATTGCATTTCAAACAACTAAAATAAAAATAACTAAAGCTATCCCCACTGTGCTGAGCGAGAGCTCTTCTCTCCCTGTTAAACTGAACAGCTGCATTATCGATGGCACAATCATGCTTAGGTTCGGAAGGCAAAAGCAGTGTGAGGGAGGAGAAGAGGGGTGGGGGCACAGTCGCTCTTTGGCACAGTTCAAGGCAACAGAAGAAAGAATGTAATTAATTAATTTACTAAATAATGCAAGAGAATGCAAGTCCCTAAAGAAAGAATGTAATTAATTAATTCAAAAAATTATATATATTATATTATATTATATATATATATATGCATTGAGAATTCAATTATTAAATTATTTTAATAAAACGTTTGCAATAAAACAATATGTAGAATTATTATGGATTCAAAATTCATTGATGTTAAAAAAAATGGAAAATTAAAAAAATCTTAAAAAGGACACCATAAAAATTCTATATAATAACTCAAAGCAGTAACAGTACATGAATAATGCTGAAATAGCACTAATAATTACGTATATAGCAGTGAAAGCTCATTGAGATCATACTGGGGTTTTTATAAACAGTTTTCAACATGTTTCCTGGCTTTGAAAATGTTTGATAATTTTTATTATAGCATTTATTTATGTTTAGGATTTTTTGCCTGTTTTGATTCTAAATGAAAAAGAGAAACATGTCCTTGCCTACTAGCCAAAATCAGTGTTTTTATGATTTAAAAAGTATTTTATTTTATTTAAATGGACTTTTCTTTAACAAAATAATTGTAACAGATGACAAATTTTTAAAACTTTTACTTTTATATGAACTTTTATATATTTATATTTACTTTTGTTTCAGTTAACTCTAATAAGTGATTTTTATAAATATAAAAAATATAATATCATTTATCCCAGAGATGGGTTGCAGCTGGATGGGCATCCGCTGCGTAAAACATATGCTGGATAAGTTGGCGGTTCATTATGCTTGGGCAACTCCAGATTAATAAAGGGACTAAGCTAATAAAAAAATTTATGAATGAGTTATATTATTTAGAGGAGCACAGTGGGTAGCACGATCCCCTCACCGCAAGAAGGTTGCTGTTTAAAGCCCAGGGTGGATCAGCTGGCATTTTTGTGTGGAGCATGTATGCATGTTCTCCCTTTGAATTTCCTCCGTGCTCCGGTTTACCCCCCAGTCCAAAAACATTCACTATAGTTGAATTGAATGAACTAAATTGTCCGTAGTGTAAGTGTGTAAATGTGTGTGTATGGGTGTATCCCAGGGTCAGGTTGCGGCTGGAAGGGCATCCCCTGCGTAAAACAAATGCTGGATAAGTTGGTGGTTCATTCCGCTGTGGTGACCCCTGATTAATAAAGGGACTAAGCCGAAAGGAAAATTAATGAATGAATAATACTAATTAAATTGTATTAAAACTAAAAAAAAAAAAACCTGATATGAAACCTTCTAAACAACTCACTAATTTTGCACAGTGCTAATAACATTAATAATCTGTTGGAAAATGATTGTAGGGCAGTAAAGCAAAACACATTTCTAATCTGACCACCAGCTGTACCTGCAGTTTACAGAGGAACCTCTGGATGGCACTCTTTCCCACTGTGTTGATCTTGCTGCGATCGAGCGTAATGACAGCATCTGGTCGTCCATCTGTCCCCGTGCACTCCTTCACACAAACCAGCCCCTCTCCAGCCTCCAGAAGAACTCGCAAAATCACAAAGCGGGCCTGCATGTGTGCCTACGACAAAAACACTGCCATGAGGAGACGATCAAACACAAGTGTGAAGATTTCTGGGAAGGCACACGTCTCTAAGCTCACCTGTCTCCAGCTTTTGCTCTCTGGTGTGTAAAACTCCAGTCCCAGAAGGCCAGCGCGAACCATGTTTAGCCAGTTTACGTAAAGCACCTCCTCCGCGTCCTCTCCTTCATGGCCGAAAATACTGAGGAACCAAAACAACTGGTCAACATCTGGATCTCAATGGCTTATATTGCTGTTGAATGACAATGTTTAGGGTCTCACCTGAGCACCTGTTTGCTGAGACACAGGTAGAGGCCGACACACTCAGCTCGACACTCCTCATAGGACGAGGCGATAGTGGAGAACTTGCTGTCCCAGGTCTCACTGCCCTTATACCAGCTGGAAATCTAAAAGGAGAGATGTCCAGTTTAATAGCTGTGCTTCTATGTATAGTTTATAGGAATGTAACGATTCACCAGACTCATGATTCGATACGATTCACGATTTAGTCACGATTTAAAAAAAAAAATATTTGAAAGGAATTTAAGGTGAAAAGCCCTTTCATTTTTTGCTTAAATGCTAAATACAAACTAAAGACTCATTAATACAAACAAAAACTGTGACGGCTGGGACTTTACAGTTTTCAAAAGAAATATCAGCATATCTGTTTTCTGTTTTCTTTTACAAGATCTTTTTGCACATTTACAATGTCCTCTGCTGATGAAAAAACTCTTTCACTGGGGACTGAGAAGGCTGGTGTGGAGAGTTAAGTCCTTCCTAAACTAGAGAGCAGGGTGTATAGAGGTGGTCAATAGGCCCTCTGCTCCAGACGACTGGCATAAAAAAACTGATAATAAAATGATTAATTATATAGTAGGAAAGAGACAGGAGTTGAACATAATTATAAAGGTAAATAATTAATATTACTTGTATAATTAATCAATATAAGTATCACTGTGATGCACTTAAGAAGAGATCATCTTGAACATTTTAAATATTCAATAATAATAAGCAAATGATTAAAATTTGAAAAGGAGAGGGTAAACAATCTAATAAATGCTTTTATAACAGATCGACTTTCTCGTTCAGTCACATCTTCCCACTTTCGCAATTAAAAAAAACTGATGGACTGTGTGATCTCTGTTGCACTCGTCTGAGCAAGCGGAGCTGCAAATCATCTGGTCCGCTTAGTTTGGCTTATTAAAGGGGTGATCCGGAGTGTATTTTTAAGACTTTCTTGTGTTTATAAAGTGCAAAGCAATGTGTGCTCATGCTTTATTTAAAAAATATATATATTATTTTTTCATATATCTTACTTTGATTATATACTGGTACTCAGCTAACTTGAAAAAACTCATATAACTCCAAAACTCCGCCCTCAAGAGGCTCTAATTGGTCAGCCAACACAATGTGCTGTGATTGGCGGATCGGCTCCATGTCACCGGGAAGCTTCTCTGCTATAACAGCGCATCAGGCCATGCCCCTTCTCTGCACAGGGTGTATGCTCGTAGCCTGAGGGGTTTATGACATCATTAACCAAACTTTGCTCGCTGTAGGGTTCGCTAAGCTAACTCTGTGGAAGCCAATGTCTCTCTTTGCATTGAACTTTGAGTATATTACATTCAGAGATGTTGTCTATGTTCACACAGCTACATTACAGATCAACTACAGTTTAAAATAGGATATTGTAGTGGACCACCCCTTTAATCGTTTTTTTTTTTTTGCATTAAGACATCTGTGATGGTAGTTTTTCACTATGCTGCATCATATTCGTTGTTCTTTTAGTCTAAGTAAACATGTTTTTGCAGTATTTGCACAGTTTGTGTTTTATCTGGCAAAATACAACTACACTGTTTCTCTGAACTGATTTATACTGAACTGTTGAATGTATTAAGAGTATTTAAGAAATGTACATTATCAGTAACTGACTGTAAATACATTTACTAAAATTAAAAGTAATTCATTCCTTTAGTTTTTCAGCAGATAAGTAACTTGATTACAGTAACTAGTTACTTTGTAACATTGTTTATGAGGTGCAAGTGTTATGATGGTTTTGACTCACCAGTTCTCCTGTTTCTGGATTGCGAACAGCAGTTTGATCAAAGTTGAATTTTCCCTTATCATCCTGTTGCAGTAGAAACATAAGCGAGATGTATTCAAGACATTTGTATGAATGAGATGGCACAATATCTATTTTTTATAAATATATTTATATATTTCCCAGCCACTTTGCTAGGTACACCAGCTCAAATATCTTAGGCCTGTTAATGAAGGCAAAAACAAATCGGCTGTAGATCAAACAGAGCATTAGAATGGAGAAGAAAGTTTATGGACAAGGAAATGATTGATCCTCTGCAAACTACAAGAGTTAGAAGTCAATAAATAATTTTGCAATAATTTAGCAGCTGTGGCTGGCCAAGCAAGCTTATTTATTCTGAGATTGTGGTCTATAACTTCTCTCCGACTGCTGGCCAGTATATTTATCATGACAAGATATTTCACAGCACTCTGTGATTCTCTCAGATCACGTCTTTGATAAACCGCACCACCTGGATGTCGTTTTGATTTTGAACAATTTCCCGAAACCTTTATGCAAATAAAAATCAAGTATGAGCTCTGCATAAGTTGTAGCCAATAAAGTGGCCAGGAAGAGAATTTATATGAATAAAAATAAATAAACCAGAGGCACTGTTCAGTTCTGTTTCTACCTGGAATTAATGTGCTTTTCATGGCCATTCAAGACATATAACTATATTCAACTACTATTAACATTGACTACTTGCATTTGAATTTTGTCTTATTTTGTCACACTCTACATCATTTATGAAGATTAGGTTTTTTTTTAATCAATCAGACGTTAGGTCAGTGGCCAAAAAGTAGATGGTCTTTTGTGGCAGTCTCAAAACATTCAACCACATATGCATTTGCATTCTGAAAGCAATCCAATAACATGCAGACCTTTTTAACTACCTCTGCAAGCGATTTAGAATGTTTCCACCTGTATTTAGCATTGTCCACTTGAGATTGGGCTGACAAAACGCATCTTAATACCAGGTGCAAACGGAGCCACATTCTGCTTTAGCTTCAATACCTGAACAAAAAGCTTTCCACTGCCATGACCCAACAGCTCATGTAGTCCAACCTGCACCTCAAAAGAAGGACCCTTCCATTTGATGTACAGGTCCTAAGGGGAAAAAAAAAATCAACAAAATTAAGATAAACGTACACGGTTAGAGCCTCCACTACAACATGTCTGAGACGTCATCAGTCTTACCTTGTCTTTCTCCTCAAGAAATGTGAGCTTGTCTTTCTGCGTGGCATAAGCAACTGCCAGCACATTTCCAAGGGACACGTTCTTGAAGCCTTCAGTCTGTCTGATGTCATCATCTACAGAGAGATAACTAGTTAACAAGATTTAATTTTTCACAACAATTTACCCTCCCTGTTAATGTTTTTTTTTCCTTTTGTTGAATGCACAGGAAGATACTGAAGAGTGTTGGGGAAAAACATCCATTCCACTTGGTTCCTAGTGTTCCCGATCTAAGCCAAAATGTCAAATTACATGTTTTTTTTCCTGACTTTCCTTAACTGAAAAGATGAATTTACATGACCTATAATAAAAACAGACAGCTGATGTGTTGAGCAGTCCCACCAGAGTTTTGTAATTCTGCTTATTTTCTGCTGCAATCACTGAATTTAAAATGTATGATTTTTTTAATGTAAATTCGAGCAAATGGTTCAGTTTTTTTATATGCAGCAAACTACCTGAGAATTTTTGCCAACATGGATCTTTTTCCAGCCACTGAAATTCCTTCTTGATTTTTTTAATTAAATAATAAATAAATTAAATTAAAATTAAAATGAATTAAAATTAAATAACTTACCTGCTTAGTTATTCTAATTAACCTAGTTAATCCGTTAAATGTCACTTTAAGCTGTATAGAAGTGTCTAGAAGTAAAATATGTCTATTAAATATTAATTACTGTCATCATGACAAGGATAAAATAAATCAGTTATTAGAGATGAGTTATATGATATATGATGTAGTCGGCTATATGATTAAGAGGTAAACACTTTAAGTTTCTCTGTGTTCTATTTTATACCAATTAAGACAAAGATGTGCACATTTTTGGATATTTTCACAGCAACACAAGAAATACCACAAATTTGAACAAACATTTTGAGAAAAGTCACCACAAAATCTGTCATTTTATGCCAGAATAATCAGAAATATAAAGCATATAAATAGTCTAGGAGGGACTGGTTGAGCACTGAGAGGCCAAAAACCGACAAATACTGCATTTTAACAGGCGACTGCATTTGATTGCTGGTTAATAAGTGGGAAAGTAATAAAATAACAATGAAAAATAGGCAAAACTGCATGAAACAATGTGATAAACACACAGTATAGAAAATAAATAAATAAAGTAAAACTTTTAATAACCTAAAATTCTCTATTACTCCATAACTTAACATAACTTATAAATACAATTAATTTATTTAACTTAAATTATTAATATAAATTAATAAGAATTTATCATTTATTACGACTAGTAAAAATATAACTCCCTGGCTGTCGTCTTCTGGAATAGACATTTTAAATCTCCATGATATTCCAAATATTACATGAAACTCTGGTAACTCCACTTCCTTAGTATTGTTTTCCCACTATGGATGTCAATAGCCACTTTTTTCAACATTCTTTAAAATATCTTGTTTTGTGTTCAACAGAAGAAATTCATAAAATTTTAGAACCGCTTGATTGTAAATGATGATAAAATATTAATATTTGGGTGAACTATGCATTTATAACCTTTTATAGAGCATTTATAAATGCATAGGGTCAAACGTGGGGTTAGAGGACTCACAGTTGGGAATGTTGATTCCTGCAGGAATGCCGCTGCCAGCAAAGGTCAGAACATCCAAAGAGGTGAAGTCTGGTTTGAGGAATCTGTCCTTCTCAAAGGCTGGAGGCCAAGGCAGCTCCGGAAGCAAGACCTCGGCTGAGCTCACCAACTGAGCAAAGCGAGCACTCATGGCCTTGTTCACCACAGCAACAAAACCTAGTGGGAGAAAAGGTAAATGCAGAGGAACGAGAAAAAGATCAGAACTGGATGTCTACAGCATTTACAGGTGGTTTAAGCAATTTATAGCAATAATAATAACAGCATTATTAACAATAATAATAATAATAATAATGATTATTATTGTTACTGCTAATTATTTTCATTATGATAATGATATACTGTAGATCACATAATAAAACTATGATCAGACTGAATGTGTCTATTTGTGAGCTTACCTTCAAATTCACCTCTTGAGCCAAATGGATCTCTGTAGCTCTCGATAAAACCAATGTAACTGTTAAAAAAACACAAAGTTGATTTCAGTAGATGCTCAAGTGAGTTATGGAAACATTATGGAAACTTTTTTGGAGGTTAAGATAGAAGTTTTGTTCATCAATGTTATGTATTTGTGTTATTTGTGCTCTGTTTGTGTTTTTTCCTCTCTCTCTCTCTCGCTCGCTCTGTTCTCCCATATCTGCTTTAATTTTTCTCAGGTTCCGTTCATTGGTCGATTCAGCTGTCAATCATTTTCTCCCCAGTTACGTCTCTCTTACGTCATATAGGCACAGACCACCCGTCATAAAAGCGCACGCAAGACCCCTTACCAGCCCCTTCTCTTCTCTTCTTTTTCCTCGTCTGTGTTTGTTGGATGCGTTGCGTTAAGAAAGAAAAACCTTGTCTGACTGTGTATTGTGTTGTTCCACGTTTCTGTGCGCACGTTATTCATCCGTTATTCATAGCCTATCTCATTTCATTTCTCATTTATTTTGTTTACGAGGCTTGGACGAAGCGGACAGGTAAGAAGGTCACATGACATACATCCTGCAACACGTAGGCCTACTCTTGTGTTAAGTACATTAGGTTAAGGGCCAGCGTCACCCTTGTACTTTTTGGATAGATAGAGGAGATAGTTATGACTTGGACGACTCTTTGTGTGTTTGTTATTTTGTTAGCAAGTTAGATGCTTCTGGGAAGTTAGATATAGTTTGGGTTTTGTTATTTTCATTTCTTTAGGACGCCCACATCCTGTCTGCCAGCTCTCTTGTTTTTCCCCGTCTTTGTATTTGTCTCAGTGTTGTATATATTGTAAATACATATTTTTGCCTTTTTCTTTATTTTGATTGTTTTTTTGTTTTTTTTTCCACTTGGGGTATTGTAAATAAAATCACAATTTTTGGTATTTAAATGGGTTGTCTTTTGCACTTTCACTGTTTGTATAAATTTTATTTAATTGCATATAAATGTCAAACCCCACCTTACCTTAGACAAACATCAGGGGTTTGTAACAATCAGCATGGTGAATTGTGCTAGATTGATAACCTGCTTAGATTTTTAAAACAAAATCTAATTTCTCAAAGGATTTTGTTAGAATTGTATTTAATCTTTTGATTATAATTATTAGCCATGTTCATGTTCATTTTCATTTTAAGTAAATTATATTTATATTATTATAACCTTTTTGCATTACATTTGTGCTTTTGTATATTTCTATAATTATACATAAAATATAAGCATTTAACATCTACTGTTTTAAAAAAATAAATTTTTATATATTGTAACAACAAAATAAATTGAATAGATTTAGTATATCGGTTTCTTTTTTTGTTTGTTTTTGCTGTTCAGTTTGTTAGTTTTTTTCTCAGAATTTCATGACAGAAATTTGTTATATTTCTCATTACAATCTCTTTTTAAGATATTTTACAGATTTTGTATGAAACCTTTCACATTTCTTGACTGTCCATTACAGATTACACACGTCACTTTTTTAGCTACACATGCTGCAAATTTAATCCAGAGTTGATGAAAATGTTTATAATGACTGTTTTGAATAACACATTGGAACTGGGTTGGACTTGTTTGGTTAACCTTTGGCTCCACCTACACTGAAACTCAGCTATTTTTATGAAATGAGTCACAGCTCTGTTAAATATGGGTCAGTCACCTCTCCACAATAGGTCCTTTGTCCTTGATCCAAAAACGGGACCCTTCTTTATGGGCTTCCACTGAGCCATAGGTAAAACTGCGGATATACTCTTCCAACATCCTTCTCTGGTTTTCATCAGCTGCGTTAACCTAAGACAAATAAACAACTTTACTTTAGGCTCCAAAGGTCTAACGCCATTCATTTTACATTTAAAAAACATCCCTAAATCTGTGTTTTCTTTATTTTAATGACATTACACCTTGGCTTTCTCCAAATTCTGACAGACTTTCTCCATAAGAAATGAATAATCGCCCCTCTTCACACAGAACACAGCATCCTCAAATTCAAATCTTCCACAGCACGTTTTACCTTCCCCTTCTTCGGCACAACAGTCTATAGACAGGAGAAAAAATAAATAAATAAATAAAATAAATAAATATCTTATCCAAAATAATACACATAATTTATTCAGAGTTTAAATAGTTCAATGATAAAATCCAAATATAAACTGTTTTTAATACTCACCCTCCGTCTTTGCAGAGGCCAAACGCACCTCATAGCACCGTTTCCCATCTACTTCTGTCTTAAACAGACGGGTGTTGTAGGCACTCAGGTTCTACAAGAAGAAAGAAGTCCAAGTGTGAGAGACCACTATTGAGAAACTGTGCAGATATAGCCACTATTAGTAAGAAAACAACAAAATCAAATTTATAAAATGGTGCAAAATGGTAAAAAAAAAAAAACTGATGATGGACTGTGAGATTATTATTTAAAACTCTGGGTGATAATTTGGCTTCTTACTCTCACTTTAAAAAAGTGCATTATTGTATACAGTTCTCTGCATAGTTAAGTACACCCCATTTTGAGAATTAATATTTTTATCAATTTCTCAGTGAATATAGACAATGTATTTTGGTGCATTTAAACAAAACAGATTTATTAAACAGATATATTTATTGAAATAATATTTTAGTCACCGGGCATCTTTAGAAATAGAAACATAACACGATTAAATTTAAGCAAAGTATTGAAAAATAAATTTACAACCTACAAAATTTCAACTACATTAATTTTTTTGCTTCTCTTGATTTTTCCTCTTTTTGAAAACTGTATTTAATATATATATATATATATATATATATATATATATATATATATATATATATATATATATATATATATATATATATATATATATATAATAAAAAATATATATAATAAAAAATAATTTAAAAGAGAGATTTATGAGGGGTGTACTTATATATGCTGAGCACTGTATATGCTCTAAAATGATGTATTGCTATTAAGAACAGGCTTAAGATGTGATGAGTAAGAAATTAGTTCTCCACAGGAGCATTTTAAAGACAACAAAATTGAACAAATGGTAAACTAAAATGTAAACAACAACTGGAGCAAAATAAAACAGGGTGTAGAGTGATACTAAAGCGATTTTAAGGCATGGATTTTTTTAAATGCTTAAATGTGTCTTATATGAGAAAGATGATGAGTTTTAAAATATTAATACAGTAACTTTCATTTATATTAATATTTCACAAAATGTATATCAGGCATTTATAATAAAAAAAGCATGATAGTCTTTAAACAGTTTTTATCTAAACAACTTGCAGGATCTTTCACTGGTGTACAATACCTTGGAGTCCAGAAACTTCTGGGCAAACTCTGCATCTTCTAAGCAGCAATTCCCTGAGAAATAAGCCGTGATTCCCTAAAAAAATAATAACAATTAGCAAAATGTAAACCTAAGATGATGCATAATAAATGCATAAAGTCATATTGTAATAGGATTTAAACAGATTTTACCTTCTCACCCAGACCAAGCTGCTTCTGCTTTTCTTCTAGAGAGTAGAGGGGCTCACAGCAGCTGTTCCACAGCACTTCTGTGCCACTGGGATCCTCCTTAAAGGCCAGACTCTCCCACACCAGAGCCTTGAACTTCTCCTGCATATACAAAATATGCACAGTTATCAAATACTAAAAGTGTTGAAACATTATCCACACATGGAGTGACAATCAGTTCACCCTAACATTTTAAACATTTACTTACGTTCATGTTGCTCCAGTCCAAAACCATGAGAAATTTCACAAAAATTAAGATATTTTTAACATTAATGGGAAATAAATCTATTCAACTAAGACTCTAAATGCGTCAAAACATTTATACAAGACAAATCCACATAAATAAAGGGGTTTAATCTAAGTTTTCCAAAAAATAAACTGAGAAAGCATGATTAGTTAGAAAACTTAAATCAAACCACTGATATGATATGATTTTTTTGATATGGATTTATTTATTATTATTATTCTATATTAGATTTTGGTGAACAGACAATCAATGGAGGGGCAGAAATGCGCTAAATTTCAAGATATCTTAATTTTTTTCAATCATGAACAAATGTCTTGTGTATTTGGAGCAACACAATGAAGAATAATCATCATCCTGGAGCAAACAATCACTTTAAGTATGGTATTTCACCTTTGGCAGGTTGGGGATGAACTTGGTGTCTCCAAATGACTTGTAGTTCCCCATGTTCGCAAAAAGCCCAGCAGCATATACAAGGAAGGCCTGGAAACAGACAGAAAATTTTTGTTACCACAAAGAACACAGAGAGATGTTAACTTTGCTGTTTGCATCAGGACATTTCACCTGATATTCCTCTGCACTCAGTCCAGCTGCAGTCGCTGTTTCCTGCATCTGCAGTGGCGTCTGTGCGCGGAACATTTTTTGCAGCAGTACGTAGATCTTGGCAGACTCAGGAGATGTCTGGATCAACACGACCAGGCCACCGTACCAGGCCGCCCGAGAGAGGTAGTGTGCATACAGTTTCTCTTTGGGAGACAGCAGCTTGAAAGCCTCCCGGCAATCCAGAGCAGAGATCCCAATGTCGTTTGGGAGGTAATACTGAGAGTCCACCATTTCTGATTACAGGCAGCTTGATTTCTCTCCACTGAAAACCACAAAAGCATAAATAAATCACTGATCAATAATGTCAATATGTAATAGAACAAAAAATAACCTGCTTATTATTACCCATCTGAACTTTATGTTGCACAAACACACAAAGCAAACACAATCCTGTAACGTTAGTTAAGTAAATACTTTAATCTAGGGGAAATGTGTAGACATAATGTCAGAAATGTGTCTTTAAGGCTGAAAGGTGAATCAGCCCAGATTCTGTGGGTTTCTGTTTCACTTCTGGAACTCAACTGATCAGCTAATACTGTTAACGTTAGCACAGTTGATAGTGGAGGAAAGCGGACAATGAACAAACCTGTGCAACGGAAACATATAGGCAATAACTCGCTATACAAACATCCTGTTTACTATTAGAGCGAACATGGGCTCTCTCTGTAAACATTTTAAAGATATTATCAACGCGCGTGGAGCAAGTTCTACCTGAATTGTGCGTTCACTCCTGTCAAAAAAATGAGAACCACCACAAGCGTACGATTCTACTTCCGCAACTCATTCAATTGAATGACCCGCCTCTCGACCAATCAGACGGTAGAGAAGATTATTGACTGGCGTGACAACCAATAGGAATAGCAAATGAGAAGAGGCTGGGATCGAAAATGAAATAAAAGTTTCGTTAAATGCAGTTTTAGCATTTTACATTTAATTATAAATCATAAGTGTCTCAACACAATATATTACCACAAAAAAGCATTATTATGAGCATTCTCGTTATAGTGAACTAAAACAAGTTGTTATGCTAGCTGAGCTCCATGAGTTCTTGTGGAAATTATCGTGCTTTGTTTATCATCACTTAAGTGCTCAAAGTGGACTTCATTTCCCAGCTATCAAAAATAATTTCTGTCAACAGGAAATTGTCCATCTTCATGGTCAGAATAGCATTTCGACCACCCAGGATCGGGTATTTGTTTATTATGCCGTGGTTTGCTTTCTCGACTCGTCTTGCCAGATAAATAACGTTACATATTGCAACCTTTTAGGTGTTAATAATTAAATAGTTCAGCCCAAATAAAGCTTACATAAAAATATAAATTGTAATAATTATTAATAATTTCTTGAAAATTGCTTACTTCAATGTAGCATAAAAATGAACCTTCAATTCGTGATATTATGTAATATTTTTTTTCCACAAATTTTAATTACAATATTCCCTTACTATTCTATTATTATTATTTTTAAATAGCATAACTTCAAAACATTGAAATCAGTTCAGTGTTTATTCCGGTTGTGGGAGGCTGGCATACATCTTAAGGATGGAGGTCAATATGGAGACAGGGCATCAACTCTGTCCCGATGGCGCCAGATGAGTAGATAGTAACCAGCACCTACAGATTTACCATTGTCATCAGTTTCAACAGTACATAAGAGTTTTTCTTTTTTCTCGGGAGGGATAATGCCAAATCACAGATTTTTAACAGATTTAAAAAAATCAGTCTTTTGTATTGTTTTCTGTTTTTTTATTATTGTTATTTAATTTAAGATAATGTACATTTAATTTAAAGATAAATATATATTAGGTGGCTAAGTATCAGAGATGACATGCATGTCTGCACATTAAAAAAGCAGCATTGCCAACAAGCTTCATCTCAGTGAAAAAAAGCTGTGGTTTAGAGCAAGCCAATCACAGAAAGACAATGTCAATAAATCAAATAGATCCAACAGCTTATGGGGCAGCAGGTCGCCTGTTGCTTGCATGTTCATTCTCCAAGAGGAGGAGAAGAACAGTGGAAATCAGGGAGCTTTTTACACAAATAATTAAATTGGTTTACATGCTTGCAATTCTGTTTTGGGTTTTATGCTAGCCAAGTAAGCTATTTGATTTTGACTAAAATATGCTTTGAGTTGGATGCTTATATTTACTTTTCAGATACAATTCCAATTTGAAAGCGAAGAGCTCGTCTGCAGTGATACCAACAGTGAAATGTATCCTTCCAGATATGTTTGGGAAATGGACTACTGTTACAAGCCTAGACTCAAATATGGTTTTCAGTGATCCGTGAGGAGAATGGACAACTGTAAGGTAATGTTTCAAGCATTTTCATATTTGATTTGAAGGGTTGGAGATATTGCACCTCAGAGGTTGCAAAATGTGTCATATTTGCAGTATTTAGATTTTTTAAAGAATGTATTTACAGTCTTTTTTCCTAAATGTATTTTTGTGGTTTGCTTAAATTACTGAACTATAATTGTGTTTTGGTCTGCAGCCAGTGCCACAATCTCGTGACACTGTCTGTATTTATATGATAGTGCCAATTACGTTTTTATCTAACATAAATGCCAGCACACAGAAAAATGTGATTTTACTTGGGAACTAATATAGATGTTACATTATTTTAAAAGTGGTAGTACTTTTCCTGGAATCATGAGAGTCAGTTATTCAAACCCAAATGCTTATCTACATGATCAGAGTTCTCAGAAAAGTAAAAGACCATCTTGTTTTGACAGATGCAAACCTACTGGTGATTAATGGCCAACTGTCACATGGAACATGAAGGGAGGGTCTTTGGTATAAACACAAGCATGTCCTCAGAATGCAGCCAGTGATCTGTGAGTATGTTAATTTATCCTAACATGAGCGAATGCCACCTGCTAACATGCCTTACACAAGATCACTTTGAGTCATCTATACTTTTGAAATGACTTCAATGAATTTGGAAACAGGAGGAGAAGACTGCCACGGAAAAGCTAGAAGAAAGCAAACATTCATCGAGCAGAAGAAAAGGAGGTGAGTACAATAAATGTTAAGAGCTTGCGCAATAGAAACCTTAAATGTTGACACGCTGTCCATTCAGAACCATGCTAAGTTCTTCAATTATGAAAACAATGGGCATCGTGAATGATTTTACATGGCATGCAAATCCTGATCGTCATTGCTTTTGCAAATAACCCACATATTTATATACTCAAACAACAAATCAGCCAATTTAAAAAAGTCAATATGCAAACTTTAAGATAATAGTGAAATATTTGGCAACGGTTTGCATGCCACCATACTTTACCCAAACTAAAGCTAGTCCATGGAACATTTAAATGCAAATGTACAAAACAAACATGTGTATCTTTGCACTATGTAGTCTAACTGTTAAATAACATAGCAAAGATTTTAGATAATAATCAGCATTGCTTAAAATTAAATGATTTCCTATTTCATTGAGGCTGCAATTACAGCAAAATTTTATCTGTGACTAGTCTGAAATATTGAAGCCAAATTAAAATACTATTTATTTATTTATGTTGTAATTTATCTGATTTCTATCAGAAGGCAGCAATAATTTAAATGGAAGGGAAACAAGCATTTTAAAGTAACTGTACTTCTGGATCAGAGATGTCCAAACTAGGGCCTGTGGGCCAAAGTTGGCCCTTGGTAACCTTTGATTTGGCCCACCATCACATATAAGAAGAACAGGAAAATGATGGGGAGGGTTGGGGTGAATGCCTTTAATAGAGATCGTAATTTCTATTTTAACGTAACGTTTCTTGTTTGTTTTATTGATGAGCTACAAAAAAAAAAAAACAAAGCGAAAAATATGTTTTAATTAAATGTTGTAAATGAGTCAAATTTAATCTATTTTTAAATATAAACAGTCACTCAACGGATAGTAGACAATGCAGAACTCATCAGCAAGCAAATCCAGGCAAAAAAACAGGTGCAATTTGACTAGTGTTTCACCATTCTATTATAAATGGGATTTTTTATACTGTAATAAGTTCACGATAAAATGTTAAAATATATTATACATTAGTTCATATAAATTAATGTTTTCTAGTTATTTTAAATTACCCATGGCAACTTTAATGTAATATAGTTAGGTATATTTACCTTTGGCCCATCACGCTCAATCAAGACTGGCATTTGGCCCTTTAAAGAAAAAGTTGGGCACCCCTGTTCTAGATGGTAGCATACAAATTTTCAGACTTTCGTGCCTTTTACAAATGCTGTTTACTATATTAAAAACAAGAAAGTGGCCAGTGGATGAAATTAAAATAAAGTCAACAATATTTTTATGCATTTTTAATGTTTCATATTACACTAGCAAAAATCTTATTTTAAACACTTTTTTATATTTGACTTTTTCGGTTTGGGTGTAAAAAGCGTGCAAATCATGAGCACATGGGACGGCATGACATTGTATCAGAAGTTGCAGGCAACTACGTTTGGTAGAGATAAGACAAAGTGACGCAATGATGACGTCTCACTTTCAGTCAGTAAAAGTGCTGTCCTCTGTCTATGAAGAAAAAGATAGCTTTAGTGTGTATGTTTCTGCCTCTAAATGACGCTAGCAGTGAACCAAGCCAAGAGAAACATGCTCATGCAACCAAAATAACCTGCTCACTCCAATTAACTGTTGCTTGTAATACAGAGTCTGCACAGAATGGAGAAAAACATGTTCCCGTTTGGCAGCACAGAGCAGGAGGAAGAAGGAGAGTCAACTGTTCAAAGAGTTAACTGCTCTTCTGCCTCTGGACTTGAGTATGGACGGTCAGCGAGACAAAGCTTCGGTAATACGTCTCACAATTGCTTACCTGCACCTGAGGGGTCTTTTGGACACCACAGACTCCTTGATGAAACGTCCTTCACCAGGTAGACAGAAAAGGTGGTTGAAAGTAGAAGACATGTTGAAAGAAAACAAGTTTTCTAAAGGCCATTGTGATTGTAGGAGTGTCGGATAAATCTCATGAGAGGGAGTTGCTAGATTCTGCCCTCGGAGGGTTTGTGGTTTTGTTGTCTTTGAATGGCAAGGTCATCTTCGCCACTAAGGGCTTAACTACCCACACAGGAATTAACCAGGTGATGATTCTAAAAATAAAACAACTGCATGCTTTAGGAGTCAATTTACTGACACTTTTTTTAAATCTTAAACATTTCTCTTTCAGATGGATCTGATCGGAAGGAGCTTGCTTGAGTTCTTGCACCCATGCGATCAGATGGAGGTCAAAGACATCCTCACGAGACTGATTGGTGAGTATTTCTGACAGAAAACACCAGTTTTGACTATAGATTTTCGATGTTTGTGTTACAGAGGCCAGCAAAAGAGCTATGCAAATACATCTTACTCCCCGACCTAAGCCACCAAGCAGTTTGTTTGTGACAAGTTTTTTACTTGCCTGAATCTGGCACAGCAGGCATTCATCCGGCACTGGCATACAGCATGTAGGCTAAACATGACACGGATTTGGCAGAGGGGGCACCGTCTTTAAGGCGGCACACAATACTTCAGATATCAAATGTAGTATTTGGCCCAGATCCTAACAATGGATATGGGGGCCATGTAAGTTTGGCCTAATTTGACCCACATTTAAAATACATTTTTATTATTTTGTATAAAGGGAAAAAAATCTACCAATCAGGTCAATTCGAGAAAAAGCACATTCCATAGCGCACCTAAAAGGCAAGGCTTTATGGGTTTATCAGTTTCATTGCAGTCGTGACACATCAACATATCTGGCCCAGTTCAGGCCCAGTTGTGGGTTATTAAATTGGCTGAGACTTGGCCCAGATATGGTCCATTTTTGGCCCTTGTCTGGAAGCCAGACTTGGTCCAGTCATGCACCGTAATTCACTGCGGCATGTGGGCCAAACAACAGCTGGTTGTGTGGGCCAGAGCTGGGGGCCATTACATTTATATAGCGCTTTTCTGGCCACTCAAAGTGCTTTGGGGTGGAATCTCCTCAACCACCACCAATGTGCAGCATCCATCTAGATGACATAACGGCAGAGTTTTTGTGCCAGAATGCACAGCACACATCAACTTATTGGTGAAGAAGAGTCAAAGTGATGAAGTGACAAACCCCCTACTTCTTAGGAAAAATATCCTGGCATTTTTAATGACCACAGAGAGTCAGGGCCTTGTTTAACAACCCATCACTATACTGGGGCACTAGGATCCACACAGACCACAGGGCACCTCTTGCACTAGCACCTCTTCCAGTTGCAACCTAGTTTTTCCCCATGCGGTCTCCCTCCAGGTACTAACCAGGAACAACCACACTTCGCTTCAGGGGGCAACCATATGAGAACTGCAGAGAGCTAGCTGTTGGCTGGTACCATTAACTGGAAGGGAGTAAGGTTTATGGGAATAAGTGAAACAGGGGCCATTTTGTAAGAGCTGTACAAGTAAACCACATTTCCCATGCCTGAAGAAGTGCACTAGCGACTGAAGCAAGAGGCTGTTGTGTCCTAATAACCAGGCAGAAATGCACCTCCCATGCTTGAGATGCCTGTTGTAATCGGGCTGAGAGTGGTGTGAATAAAACCAGACTTGAAGCAAAAGGTTACGTTGGCCAGGTTACGTCAAAGACTTTAGAAATACAAGGACGGTTCACTTGCATTAATATGAATGGGGAAAAGCGCAAAGCTCATTATGGCTGGCACAAACAGAGAAGTCCAACCTTTAGGTAAGACATCCTTCAAGACACCGTCAAGCCCAGGAGTTCTTTGAGGAATCGCCTGTTTGTGTTCACTTGATCATTATCCCAAAATCCCTGAAGTTTAGTGAATACTGCATACCTGCAGTACTTTTGACTGGGGAAATTATATCACATCCCATCTCATATTGTGGCTTTCCAGTGTTTTCTTTCAGTATTGCTCCAGGGGTTTATCTGTGTTATTCCAGTTTATTTGAAACAGCTATAAACAAGATTGGTGTTGTGAAATATCTGCTCAGTCGCAGTAGCTGGAAAAAGCTGCTTTTGCAAATATGGCTGCAGGGTGAACACACTTTCTGAAGGGACTTTGAGAGATTGTAATGGTGGCCAGTTAATAAGACCACCAGAGGCAATAATCTTTATCATTATTGTAAGTGTGCCCAATTTACATCTCGCTCAGAGTACAGGAGTCGAACTAAATGAGTTATGTTGGTGCCATCTGACGAGAGTAAGTTTTTCGGAGGTAAACCTTTCTCCTCTTACCAGAGGAGGCAAACAAGAGGTTTTTCTTTAAGGCTGGAGGAGGGCATGTAGAACCAGATGGGTTACACTGGTTCATACTGGTTAATACTAGTGCCAATAATATGTTTCTAATATTTGCAGGGAACCAAGAACCACAAAAATGTGAAGTGTTCCTCAGGATAAAAAAGGCAATGAACACGAAACTGACTGGTTGGAAAGTAAGAATGGCATCTTTTAATTGTTTGAAAAATAACACAATTTTCATTGTTTCACGTTTTGCTTTCACTGTATCAAGATTATTCAGTGTTCTGGAAAGAAAAGGTCATCTGCTACACCTGGATCCAGTTGTCTGGTTCTTGAGTGCAGGGTTCTGCCCATTCAGGAGATCACAGAAGTGGATGAAGCATTGAATGCATGTACATTTATGAGCGTTCACAGCCCTGACATGACGTTCACCTACTGCCACTCAAGGTACAGCCCTGTACTTGCTGCTTTCATGTGCAAACAGCTAAATGCTTTGACTCTCTTTGGGCTGTTTTTACATTTGAAACTCTATTTTTGGCTTAGGGTCGTGAAATTGATCGGCTTTCGAGACACAGATCTGTTGGGTCAATCTGTATACCAGTACTATCATCCATCTGACTGCCAGCAAATCCGCAAGGCACACATTTGCTGTAAGAGAGATATCTTGTTATCTGTTTACCACTTTGTGTGCTGAATTTGATCGTTTTGTTAAGCCTTATGTGATAACTTACTCTCATTTCATTCAAAACTCTCAAACTAATGATGGATTTACATATTTTTACTATACATTTTATTTATTTGTACATTTTTATTTAAGTTTAAAACTATATAAGGATATATACATATTACATATTAATATTTTATCTATATCACAAACTGTCTCTAATATTCAAATATCTGCTTGAAACAGTGCTCTCCAAGGGTCAAGTGTCGACCGGGAAATACCGGCTGCTGCACAGATATGGAGGTTATGTGTGGGCAGAAACAGACGCCTCACTGGTGTGCAACAGTCAGACTGGTGTGCCAGAGAGTGTCGTCTGCATCAATTACATTCTAAGGTTAGAAAATTTTCACTAGCAGATATCTTGAATGTCTACAAGTATACCATGAATGTTTTGTGGGTTAATTTGGATAAATATGCATGCTAAATGTGTTAATATCAGAAGGTTTTACATAAAAAAATATATATATTTGTTTAATTTGTACAATTTTAGTGAAGTAGAGCAGCCCAATTTGCCATTTTTACTGGAGAAGACAGAACAACTTCTGAAACCAACATCTAGCTCCTATTGTCCAGAGACAGAACCTGCCCCTTTTCCGCCATCTAGAGGCCAGGAGGGTGAGAAAGATCTCAAGGAATCGAACGAACACAACAGTTTTATAACACATCTGAAACAAAGAGGTAAAATTCACAAATGTAAAAATATCACATGTATGATGATAGGAGAATATGATGCTTCATATATTAAAATATGGTTTATCATAAAGATGTATTGTGTTTTTGCTCAGATGGTGACATACAGGAAGTTGAATGTACAGAGATCCCACATAACACAGAAGGGTGTTATGATTTCAATTGTGTGAGTAATGTTACCCATACCAAATTTACTGCAGTGCACATTGTTAAAACAACTGTACTGTGATTTAAATGCCATGGTATGTTTTTTTTTTTTTTTTTTTTTTTTGGTGAACATTTAACCACAGAACCAGGGACGGACTGGGACAAAAATTCAGCCCTGGCACTATAGCCACACCAGCCCACATTACCATACGTACTGTTTGCTTGACATTCTTGCCAGATTTTGATTATGTCCGCGTAACCTTTGATTGAGTCGGCCCCTCTCGAAACTATCACCGATTGGGCCAAATGCTTAACATTTACTATTATTATTACTATTATTACCATCATCAACGTCATCATAATATTCACATGTTGCACGAGATAAAAGCTGCCTGCATGTAAAAACAATACATATAAAAAATAATAATAAAATAAAAAATAAAAATAAAAAACTGACCGGCCCATATTTTAAAAAATGGTCCGGCCCTTCTGGCATTTGCCAGAATTGCCAGATGGCCAGTCCGCCCCTGCACAGAACAAAATTTCATACATACTCCAGTCTTCATTATTATCATTTTGGTGAAATGATAACAAAATGTTGTTATGATTGATCATCATTTATTTCAAACCGAATTATTACACAAATTACTTACTGTGCTTCTCCTGAATATTGTAGGATCAGTGTGAGTTAGACTTGGACAGTCTTGCTCCATACATTCCCATGCACGGAGAGGACTTCCTGCTAACTCCCATTATAGACAGGGCGATGGACATGCCAGAATTAAACACGTGTAGACCATCATGTAGCAGTCCATCTCAAAACCTGGATTCTTCAGAGGGAACAACCGTTCTGCCAGTGAAGAGTCTTAATTCTACCCAACAAAGTGTCAGTAATTCTTTTCAGACAAAAAGGTATGCCCCATGAAATCTCACATCTTTTTGATTTAGTGGCTCATTTGTATGAATTTGTACGAAAATATACACAAAGGCATCAATCCCAAAGCTCCAAAAATATTAATATATTCACTTAAAAAGGCTGTCGCAAAGCGTGTGATGTTTCGATTGCAACCGCTTTTAATCATAAGATTCATATTCATATTTTTGGAGTTTTGATGTCGCCGCCTTTATAAGCCTCTATTTTTATAATACTTGTGTTTTGGGTGAGCACAATTTTAGATTGATATTTATGCTTTTGTGCTATTTTAACAATGTCATTCATACATTTTAATATGACGGTCAGGTTTAGGGGTGTGATTTGGAGGCACGCCTTTTAAAAATTGTATATATTTGTTTTTTTCTAAATTAAATCGTATAAGGGCCATTCTTAAACTACGGGCACTTTCAACCTTGTGAAGTAGGGTAAAAAAAACTTGTTCAAAATTAACGTAACATAGCCTCATAAGTTTAAACAATTTGTCTAGTTTTAAGATCTGTAAAGGGACAAACTTAGATAAGAAGAGAAACATTTTTCCATCGTGAACTGAATAAATGTCATTCCCACCACATCTCAATATACAGCTTTTATTTCAAAATGAAATAAATGATGGCAGTCAAACATTGTCTAAGATTATTTTTGTATCTAGTTTAACCAATCTTTCCACAATATATGTAATAATTACACATTTGTCAATGAAATAAATCAGTTGAATGCTGAATTGTACACCTGTCACACTCTAAAATGTAATATTCATTAATTAAGAGCTTATTAGAAAATAAATAAACTGAAATGTATTTTAAATAGAGCATGATACATTGTGAACACACTTTTAATTTGTGATGAGAACTTTTTAAATATTTTTGTAAAATGTGTGTGGTGATGGAAATGACAGTGGTGGAAACGACATTTCAACAGTTTATTGTGAAAAAATGAAAAATGGCTTCATCGATTAGCTTTGAATTGATACTAGCCTTTCATGTATACAAAACACTCTTATTGACCTTAATTTTGTTTGGTTTTTTAAGACATCTTTGAAGGTACAACATGTTTGAAAATGACGTAGAATAAATGTATTTCCTTATATACAATATATACCTTGATTTACCTTGAAGTGTTGTTGATAAAAATTCTCAGATGGCACTATTCAATTTCATAGAAAATAATACTTCAAGTAGCTACATTTCCTTGTGAGATAAAATTAAACACATCTCAATTTGTTATTTTTCATTTCGGCAAATTAGTGCCCGATTTTATAAATGAAAACAATCTGCTACTGTTCACTGACGTCACATGGATGTTTATTGGCAATGAAAGATAAATGTTTACTTCACGAGTTCACACTTACAGATGTTTGTAGAATAAAGTTTGTTTGGCATGCTGTCCAGGGAGAGAGTCTGAGTTAAAAAACAAACAAACAAACAAAAAAAACACCCCATCTCTTGTCGTTCCCCTTGTCGGAAAAGTGAGAGATGTCTGGATCAGAGTGAAATGTCTAGCCCGGCCCCAAAACGCTCCCACTAACTAGACCGTGTTTAAGAGGTGAGGTCTCGTGAGATAATGAATGTAGGACAAGTTTGGTATTTATAGGGGTTTGGTCTAATGCTGATTGGATAATAGAATGATTGTCAATGATGTTTTAGAATCGTTGAAACATCTGTGTATACACCTCCCGAAATTTGTTCATAAAACTTCACTAAATGTTTTTTTTCTTTCATCCCTGCTTCAGTAATTTTTTTTCTAGATATTGTAAATATTTGGACAAATATATACAGAGCCTTGCACATGACAACAAATACATACATTCTGACCAATTAAATATTAAGTCTCTATAACTTCTATGTCAACTTATTTTACAAATCTGTTCACTTGTCCTAAGTAACTTTGAGTTAAAGGGCACACTGTAATAATTTGTAGTTAAAGTACACAACAAAGTCCACGTGAAGCAGGAGTTGCTGTAACTTATTTCAGTATGTTGATGTACTTCCAACTGAAACGGAGTATTGAGTAGGGGGTGGGGCTTTCTTTTTGACCATCTTTCCCTCACAGCAAACTAATGGTAAGAGGGGCGTGGTTAAAAATATTGTGGCTGACAGAGAAGAAACACCACTCCAAATGCAGAAGCAAATGATCAGACTTTGAAGATCACCTATACAAACTTGTTGTTCAGTGAACTAACATGCATGGATTAATTGTTTACATAAAGAATAATAACAATGTGTGCTAGCAAAATAAAGACTGTAAAGTTTAATTTAACATGGACTTTAAGCTGAAACTGTTAAATTAAAGCAGGGGCAATAATTAATTCAACATGGATTTACTGGAAAACAGTGGCAAATTCATCCAAATTAGTCAGAAATCAGGTTGATGTTTATGGTACTGATGTTAGCATTTTGCATACCACTCCCTATAATTCCTTAACATTTCTTTCATTGTAGAATCAGCGATACTAACCTGATATCAACCAAGCAGTGGAGTGACAGCTTTGACCTTGTCAACAAAGTTTCAAAGGTATATTGTGCTTATGAGCATATTAATGACCTATGTATTATAGTTATTTCTATTCCTTGCATTTGATTGATTTGAATTTCATTTAGCTATGGGTGGTCTTAAATGCCCTCATTTTAATTCTTTATTACAAAAAAGAAATTATTGTGTCTAGAAAGTTATTCACTCTACATTTTAGACAATATTATCTTTGCTCATTGAACTGTTGTATAAAAGTGTAAGAAAGTATGAGTGTTTAAATTGATTACATTTTGGTCATTTGGTAATTGGACTCATTTCTTTCTCCAGGTTTATGATTACGATCCTAAACAACATAATTATCAACTATTTTCATCTGAAACCAAGGCAAATCATTGGGTGGAGGAGGCTCTGAAATTTCCACAACCCAACAGAGTTCATTGGAACATCGGTAAGAGTTTCCAAAACAGCCTTTTCATAGCGATTTGATGTAAGAAGCTATAGTGCTTCCCCAAAGGACATTTTAGTGTATTTTAAATTACCATTTTTTTTCTAGAGTAAAGAATATTTTAATAATCTAAACCAGTGTTTCTCAACCATGTTCCTGGAGGACCAGCAGCACTGCATGTTTTGGATGTCTCCTTTGTTTGTCACACTCATTTCAGGTCTTTCAGTCTCTGCTAATGAGCTGATGATCTGACTCAGGTGTGTTTGGTTAAGGAGACATGGAAAACATGCAGAGCTGGTGATCCTCCAGACATGTGGTTGAGAAACAAAGATCTAAACCATCTTTTTTTCAATATAAATGACCTTTTGTGCGATGAAAAGATTCCAAAATTTTTAAAGGGGTAATTCAGCCACAAATGAATTCTCTGCTATCATTTACATTAATATCTTCCACCTGACCTAAACCTGTTTGAGTTTCTTTCTTTGGTTAAACACAAAATGAGACAACCAGTAGCCATTGACTTACATTGTATAGATGTCAATGGCTACATTTTCCAGCATTCTTCAAATCTCATAAAGGTTTGGAAACACTTAGGAATAGTGAGTAAAAGGTCATTATTGTGAGAACTATCCATTTAAAGTTTCTTGATGGAACCATCGATGTCAATAAAGAACACGTGAACATTTATATACGTGTGTGCTGCATTTCCACTAGATGGATCAACACCACCATGGATATGTGACGGACACTTGAATCATCTTGAACCGAAGTTCAGATCACTTCCAGAGAAAACCAATTGTCCTCCTCAAAAGAGAAGACACCAACATGAAGTAAAAACAGCCGCGGCACTTTTGACTCTGCCTGTGTTGAGCGGATGGGAGTGTGAAGTCAACGCTCCTCTCGAACACACATCATATTTACTCCAAGGGACAGAGATTATGGCCGTTCTGGACCAAGTAGCCTCCAGAGTGCCTTGGTGCTGATGATTCAAAACAAAAGACTTAATGTTTATGCTTGGTCAGCAATGCGCTTTTATTATATCAATGCCTGTGCGATAGGAGTAATGGACTATAGTGTTTTTCAGTCAACGATGAACGTCCGGTGAAAGTCTATTCTGGTGTGACTATTTTCAAATTCATAAGGTTCCTTTTACAGCCTTGATGTTGTAATGTAGTTAAAATAATTTGTATGGGATGACAATTAACCAGAAGCCCTGGGGCTGGCTGACTGAAATTAAAAGTCTGTGTCCATGTACCCCATTATTTTATTCATCTAATAATGAGATTGTAAATGACTATGTTGTTGATACACATGACTGGTCAAAGAATCAGTTTAAAACAACAGGATTGTGTTTAAAAACGTCTCTTATGCTCAGTAAACCTGCATTTATTTGATGCAAAGTAAAGCAAAACAGTAAATAATATTTTTATTACGTAAAATATCTGTTTTCTATTTGAATATATTTTAATATGTAATTTATTCCTGATTTCAAAACTTTGCCAGACCTCTAGCTTCATTACTCGTTACAATCCTCCTGAAAGCTGATGTGCTTCTTAAAAACATTGTCATTTATTACTATTGTTGAAAACAGCAGAGTAGAATTTTTTTCATTCATTTTTATTTCGGCTTGGTTCCTTTATTATTCTGGGGTCGCCACAGCGGAATGAGCTGCCAACTTATCCAGATTGTTTTGGGGTTTTTTCGCAGCAGATGCCCTTCCAGCTGCAACCCATCATCACTGGGAAACATCCATACACACTCATTCACACACATATACTACGGACAATTTAGCCTACCCAATTCACCTGTACCGCATGGACTGTGGGGGAAACCGAAGCACCCGGAGGAAACCCACACGAACGCAGGGAGAACATGCAAACTCTGCACAGAAACGCCAACTTACACAGCCAAGGCTCGAACCTCATATTACACACTCATACACTGAAGCCAATTTAGTTTATTTAATTCACATATAGCGCATGTCTTTGGACTGCGGGGGAAACAGGAGCACCCGGAGGAAACCCACGCGAATGCAGGGAGAACATGCAAACTACACACAGAAACGGCAACTGACCCAGCTGAGGGTCAGTGACCTTTTTGCTGGGAGGCGACAGCACTACCTACTGCATCACATTTTTATTTTTTTTATTTTTTTAGTTATCTTTGGTTCAGAACAGCTTTTATCTTAAATCTTTTGTGACATCATAAATGTCTTCATAATCACTTTTGGTTCATTTAAAAAAGGGGTGCCCAAACTTTTTCTTAGGAAGGGCCAAAATGCAAGCTTGATTGAGAGCTGTGGGCTGAAGGCAAGTATAGCAAACAGTATTACATTAACGTTAGCATGGGTAAGTTCCTAATTTATATTGTAATATAAAATAAATAAAGGAAAAGATTACTTCAACTATATCATATATAATGCATTCAAATTTTTCAAAAATGTATATTATTTTAACAAACTTTGCCTTGATTTTCACGCTGATGTCTTCTGCTATTCGTTAAGTGACCGTAAGCACATAAAAAAAAGGTTTATTTACAACTTTCTATTAAAACATTTAATTTTAGTTTGTTCTTTGTAGCTCGACAATAAAACAAACAGACAAAAGGTTACATTAAATAGAAATGAGAATCTCCTAATCATTTTCCCTCTGGCGGGCCAAATCTACGAATACAAAGAGCGAACTTTGGCCGCTGGTTTTGGCATCTCTGATTTAAAGAATTCTCGGTAAATAGAAGTATTATGTTCTATAATTTCTTTACTAAGAAACAAATGTATCTCACAGTTTGATGCAGTTTTTTCTTTACACATGAAAAAACAACAACATTTTGTGAACTGTCATTAAAATGAGATGAAATGTAAGGTTTCCATAAACAGTGTTTTATTTATGGGTTAGAGATGCATTAAAACACTAAAAGCTTCATTCTACTTTATATGCGGTCTTGCATTGTTTACATTATTATTTTCTTTTGTGCAAAAAAAAACAGGTATGATACATTTTTACTACGATTTACAGAAGACACCACTAAAATGCATACCTGTTAACAATGTTATGTGAAAATAAGAGACACCCTAATCCCCACTTTACAAGATGATAGCAGAACAGAATTGTAAAATATGGGAAAATACTGTGAAAAACGGGAGGGTTGATAGGTATGCTAAAATGTTTAGCAATAGTTTAGCAAATGTTCCAAAAAAATACATTTTGCTCATCAAGTGGATTCATTTCTTTCTTTATAATTAGAATTTTAGGGGTTTTTCATCTTTCATTGGGATAGGATAGTGGAGGAGAGACAGAAAAGCACTGGGAGCACAGAGAGGAAGGTTGGGCATAGGACCTCGAGTCGGGAATTGAACTTGGGTCACCCTGAGCCCTATGGTGCTATATGTTGGCGCGCTTAACCTCTAGGCTATTGCCACCGATTTTTCCTTATAATTATGAACAACATAATTTATTATGTTGATTAAAATCATGTAAAAAAAAATTGACAAATTACAAGTAGCCGTAATACTAATTGTCATCTTAAATCTTTATAGTTTGCGACTAACCTTCAAACCAGAAGATTTTAGATTTAAATTGACAAGAAACAGAACTGATCTAAACTTGAGTGAAAAACATTGTAAGATATAATCATTCATTTTCCTACGGCTTAGTCCCTCATCCACCACAGCAGAATGAACCACCAAATATTCCAGCATATGATTTACACAGAGGATGCCCTTCCAGTTGCAACCCAGTACTGGAAAACACCCATACAATCACATTCACACTCATACACTAAAGCCAATTTAGTTTATTCATTTCACCTTTAATACATGTCTTTGGACTGTGAGGGGAAACCGGAGCACCTGGATTAAACCAACGCCAACTCGAATCAGCAACCTTTTTGCTGTGAGGCGACAGTGCTAACCAATGAGCCACTGTGCCACACCAGATATAATCAGTGTAAATAAATAAAAAAAAAAAAATAATAATAATTATATATATATATATATATATATATATATATATATATATATATATATATATATATATATATATATATATATATATATATATATATATATATTCAGATGACATTAGCCCAGTCTTAAATCGCAACAGTTTTTATTGAGGGGAAAAAAAACAAGACAGATAAGGTTCTACAGAGAACTGTCAATCAAAACAAAAAAGTTAAATCAAATAAGGGACTTAAATTCACATACAAGACAATGTCTGTATATACATCACCAGTTGCAACTGTGTTTAGGAGACGGCTAAAATGAGCGCATTTTGTGAGATTTTCTGTCCTTCTGTTCCAGAATAAAGATTTATTTTGTAATGGTATTTCTGTAAACAAAAAGAAGAAGATAAAACCAATTACTGAACAGAATACAGACAGAATGAAAAGGAAAGTGTAAATAAAATACGTACGCGTTCATGCTTTTCCCGCTGCCACTCAGCACAATGTAAGGAGTTTTCTGTGATTTCTGCTTTTCCTGCAGAAGTGCCACGGTTCCCAGAGGAGTATCACTGCTGCTCATCTTCTTCAGCAGCTGCACGGACAAGCAAAATGGACATTAGCTTTATAGTTTGACAACAATGATGACAGTATACAGAGCTCAGCCTTAAAGGGACAGTTCACCCTATACTGAAAAAAAAAAGAAAAATCAATCAATTTACTAACCCTTGTTTCAAACCTGTTTGAGTTTATTTTTTCTGTTGAACAAATGAAGGTATTTTGAAGAAATTTGAAAATCGCTAACCATAAACTTCCATAGTATTTTTTTCTACTATGGATGTCAGTGTTTACAGGTTTTCATCTTTCTTCAAAGTATCTTCTTTTGTGTTGAACATAAGAAATAAAATATCCTCTTTTTTTTTTGGAAGATCTTAAGAGAGAGCGAATTGAGAGTACATTTGTATTTTTGGGTGAAGAATCTCTTTATTTATTCAGAAATGTCCATGTGCTTCTCATTCAGACTTTCTAGGAATAAAAATGATCTGTCCAAATAGGGAGTATGATTATTAAATATAATTAAGCAGAATTTATCCAGTGTTGTATATCAGCTGGTAATTACTTAAATCCTCATATTTGGGATATTTTCCCCTCTTAAATTGATATTAAATGAGTTTTTACACATTCTGATTAACTATTAAATGCATCATCTTTGAAATTGAAATAATGACACATGCATTTTGATTACAAAGAGAGATCTTTGAAAAAAAATGGAGTAAATGGCTGACTTTCACCACAATGACAATATAATTATCCATACTTTAACATTGACATAATTTTAGAGGTTATGCACCATTGAGAATAAGTTTGGCAAACTTTTATTTTATTTTTTTTTTCTTATTTTATTTATTTCTTGAAGAGGATAATGTAATATTTATGTTTGTATGTACATATGTGTGGAATTTATGTATGTGTGTGTGTGTGTGTGTGTGTGTGTGTGTGTGTGTGTGTGTGTGTGTGTGTCTGTGTAAATAAATATACAGTTGAAGTCAGAATTATTAGCCCCCCTTTGATTTTTTTCTTTTATTAACATTTCCCAAATGATGTTTAACAGAGCAAGGACATTTTCACAGTATGTCTAATAATATTTGTTCTTCAGGAGAATTATTTGTTTTGTTTCGGCTGGAATAAAAGCAGTTATTAATTTTTTAAACACCCTTTTAAGGTCAATATTATTAGCCCATTTAAGCTAGATTTTTTCAATAGTTTACAGAACAAACCATCGTTATACAATAACTTGCCTAATAACCCTAACCTGCCCAGTTAACATTAATTAACCAAGTTAAGCCTTGAAATATCACTTTAAGCTGTATAGATGTGTCTTGAAAAATATCTGGTCAAATATTATTTACTGTCATCATGGCTAAGATAAAATAAATCAGCTATTAGAAATGAGTTATTGATGGATAGACAGACAGACAGACAGACAGACAGACAGACAGACAGACAGACAGACAGACAGACAGACAGACAGACAGACAGACATGTATGTGTATATTTATATATATATATTGTTTTGGTTTTTAATCAATATTATTATTTGTTTTGTTTCCACTTGTTATTTGTTCCTAATAAAAACTATAAAAAGTATTTTTAAAAAGCATCATTTTTGTATTGAATGAATAAATGCTATTGGGTTATCATAAAAGAAATCACCACCAATTCCATGTTTTCACTGAAGCAGCAGCATTTACAGTTTAACAAAGCCCATATGTAGCGTCAAAGTGTCAATTAATTTATATTCATATTTATAATACAATAATTTTATATAATACATTGTATTTAGCAATTATTATAAAATTTTAAACAATATATATTTTTAAAACATAAACCACTCCTTTCCTAGCTAATGACGTTTTTAATTGGTATAATCGTCTGGTTGAGCAAAGTAAAATGATCTTACACTTAATCCTGCAAAGTGCAAACAATCCAGTTAGGGATG